CTCCATGCTTTGTAGATTTGTTCTTGCAGCAGTAGGAGAGCCTGCTCAGTGGACCGTCTCTTCCTGGCTCCAAAGTGGTTCGCAGGTAGCAAGCCAAATGTCTCTGCCGCGTAGGACAGGCGTTCCGCAATGACTGCCTCCAGTATCTTGCCAAGTGTGGAGAGTAGCGAGATAGGTCTCCAGGCTTTGGCCAGTGTGTAGTCGCTCTTTTCGGGCTTCTTCAGTGGAATTATCTTGGCATTCCTCCACTGATTAGGGATGTCGCCGTCTCGAAGTGAGGTCTGGAATAGTTGGTCGAGCATCGTAGTCGGTCGGGGTCAGCTCACGTGATATGGTGCAATCCGCGCTAGACCTTCAAAAGGAATGGCGCGGAAGCAGTCCTCCTCAAGGTCGACAACGTCGACCTGATTCCTCTCCTCTCACGCTCGTTCTCCTGTCTTCAGAGCAGCTTTTGCAGTTGACATTCATACCATTTTCATGACATTTTCATCGGTACCGCATTTGCTTTTCCGAATCTGTTACCCGGCCATGTTGGTGTCGTCAAGCCTTGAGAAGGAACACTTATCATTTCCTCTTTGGGAAATCGCCAGAATCCAGTGATGTTCGCACCAAGCCGCAAGCGACACTCAGGCGCCTGACCGCATATTCTGATGACGCTTTATCAGGAGGGAAGTAGATGTTCCATTCTGCTGTCTCTCTGAAAGACTGGATTCATCATCAAGTACCATTACCACCCCTAAACGCCGCTGGCACCAGTACCTAGAGAACCGAACCGCTTTCCAACTTCTCTCTCACAACTTCTTGCCATACGCGGAGTAGTATCCGCACGTCTTGATATGGCTCTTCTTACCCGTCTCAACATTGAAGATGTGGCATCCCCCTCTGGCCACGTTGGGCGGGGTATACAAATGCAGGGAAACCGCGAAGTCGCTGCCCTGATTCGACACGCGATGCACCCCCAGCTCATCCGCCATGTATGCCACCTCGTTCTCCTGGTGAACCCTCTCCGATATGACGCGCATTGGCTTCTCCTCGTCGCCCTCTGGGAAGGCGTATCTCGTTTCCGTCAGATTGCCCCGGAGGATTTTCATTAGGCAGTGGGCGTTGCCGTGGTCGTGGATCAAGCTGCCCTTGCCGGGTGACCACACGAGGATCAGCTGTTTTCGGTCAGTCAGGGGCAAAGTAAACAAACAACAGACAGACGGAGTGTGTCTGTTTCGGCTTGGAACCGACCAGGTTGCTCTTCCCATTCCCTTCGTCGACCAGGTTCCTCGTGTATCCTCTGCTTTCATCGCCCATGGCGTACCTCGACCATTCTTTCGGATCCGAGTCATAGTCACGCATCAATCGACGGAGATGGTCGACGTCGACATCCTCTGATGTGAGACCCGAGCAAGTGCCGAGGGCCTCCTTCAGGCCGAGGACGAGGTCGTCGAACCGGTTGGTGTCCATTGGTGCGTGGCAGGGGTACGCCGACACATTCGCCACCGAGCTGTTGATGATGCCAACCGCCATGTTGGGGGCTACTACGCTATCAGGGGTGATCGGCGAGGCAGCGCTTCGAGGGTTCGACTTCTACGATTTGGAGGTCCGATGGCGCTGGGTGCGAGTGGATCCACAGGACTTTTCAGCTAGCCGATGGATTCGATGCTGCTGATGACGGAAGATGGAGTCGTTGAATTGTTATCACAGTGTCTGGGGATGGTTGATGGTCGATGAGATGATGCTCGGAATGGCGGCAGGTGCTTGGGATACGTTGATGGGGAACATGGCAGGGAATGGCGGTGTTGAGCGTGGTCGCCGACGGGGCAGTTGGTGCTTCCGGGGCGCGCTGCGCTACGGGCCCGGTTGGCCCCGATCTCGGTGGGTCATCTGCGCAAAGCAGCCATGTGACCTGGATGAGGCCTTGGAAGACGAGACACCACACCCAACGCACCGACCGGGATGAGTAAGAGAAACTGGAACGTCAGTGTTGGCAACTGGCAAGTGTGCTACGATTCGGCGATAATCGTCACATAGTCGCAAAGGCTCAATCGCCATGTATTGCCAGAGACGGATACGTTAGTAGGCGAGATTTCATCATTTCCAGAACCGCGAAGTCTTTCGACCACGACGCATTCACACTTTCCAGATCACAAATGATAACAGTCTCCGCGCTTGAGGGCCGATGACAACGGCGGTGTTCAGGAACCCTGGACTCTCAGGAGCATATCTCAGAACCGCTATTACACCTGCCAACAGGATTGGAATGTTACACTTGTCTGCCTTTCCGACAGCGTTGTCCATCCTCAAGTCCATCGCTGTTATCACAAGATGCTGGGAACGGAAAGACAGGCTGCATCGTGACCTTTGTCTCCAGTGATGGCCCTCTCCTTCGGAGATCTCCGAGAACAGGGTGTCGTCCTTGGTTTCTCATCACTTACCGTTTTGTTAAGCTTGTCAGAAGCAGGCCCTAGACCTGCGGTCCTGTCAAGCCTGTCGATACTTGGTGTGCTGGAGGGTCGTACATGCTCCCCATTCTCCCCGGGCAGATGCCGGAATTGATGCCTGGTACAAGGACTGAGACACTTCTGACCCAGGCACTCAGACTCTATTTGTCCTTCACTCATATCTCAATTAATTCACTCCTGGACGGCTCAAAACACATCATCAGCATCAGCATCAAAGTCAAACAGGCCACAAGCCCAGGGTATTCCATCCGTCACCGATTCTCCAATTCCAAACCTTCATCGTCTTCCCTCCCTTCCTCCTCTGTCCCATCCAATACCCCCCCGTCCCCACTAGCAGCAGCACCCACGGCAGTAGGATGTACATTCCCCCTGCGTCTCTGCCCCTCCCACGAATCGCTTAGCCTTATCCGCCCGCGACTCACCCTTCCCACCGTATCCGACACCCAGCCCGCAGCGGCCCGAATCATGCCCCACACGCGCTCCTGGCCCTCCTCTTCCAAGCGCCGCAGGTCCCCCTCGCGAGGATGCGACAGGTGGTGCTCGGCCGCTTCGGCCTTGAACTGGTACTTGAGACAGTCCTTGACCGTCACCAGGCCGGTCAGCCGGCCGCGGTGCTCGATCAGTATCACGCGTGGGCCGATCTTTCGGAAGAGTTCCATGACAGTTTCGAGCGGAAGGCGGGGGTGGACTGTGAGCGGGGTTGTGTCGGTGTAGGGGGCGAAGGAGATTGTGGTGGCCTGCGAGGATGCGTAGTCGAGCGGGTTGGAGGAGGAGGAGGCCGGGGTCGAAGGGTGGATGAGCGGGGTGGTCGGGTCGGTGGTGTTTGAAGAGGTGGTGGCAAAGGAGCATTTTGCCAGGGGGCTAAGGGTGCGCTCGCGCTTGGCGCGGTCAACGGCGTAGCGCAGCTCGGTGCGACCTATGTAGCCAATGAGGATCTTTGACGTTTCGTCGTCGACGATGGGGAAGCCTTGGTAGTTGTCTTTGGTGAGCAGGCGCTCAACAGCCTTGAGGGTCATGCCCGTCGAGGGGATGGAGACGACGTCGGAGATCATGGCGTGGGAGACGGGTACGCCAAAGTTGTGCTCCTCTTTGTGGTCGAGGTAGGGAAAGCCGCTGAACCAAATCATGCGGTCGGCGATGCCGCCCTTGCCGAACAGCTCGCTGACGGCTTTGGTGACACCGACCACGATCATGGTCGGCAAGATGTAGGTGAGCGCCCCGGTCAGTTCGAACATAATGACGACGACCGAGACGGTGATGTGCATGATGCCGCTAAGCGCCGCGGCGGCGCCGAGGAAGGCGTATGTCCCTGGGGTGATGCAGGGAACATCGGGCTCACAGGAGGAGAAAAAGACGCTCTTTGGATTTGCCTCGTGGATCGCTTGGACAATGATGCCGACGGTGCGGCCAAACGACGCGCCAATGGCCATGGACGGCACGAAGATACCGGCCGGAACCTTGCAGCCGTAGGATATAATGACGAAGAATATCCTGATAATGGTGGCTAGGATCAGCGAAACGACATTGCCGAAGCGATGGTCAGGGTCGCAGAGGTCGTGGTAATCCTCGGCGCCCTCGCATTCCCTGAAAAGGACCTTCATGCTCTCTGTCATTTCAATCCTCAGGAAGGCGTTGGGATAGCAGACAATGGCAGTGGCAACGGCCAGCAGGGTGGCCTCGAGAACGGCGTAGTTGGTCAGGTACTTTTTTCGGAAGGCCTGGGCTCGGAGATTCCATTTCATGACAAAGGCGCCATACAAACCGCCAAAGACGCCGATGATGATGTAAAACAGGACCTCAAAGAAGTGCCATGACCGATCGTACTTGACCTGGAACATGACAAGCTGGCCGGTCCGAAAGGGGTTCATGGCGGCCAGGACAGCCGTCGCAACTAGGGCGCAGAAGTAGCTGCGCCACAACGTTTTCAGGGGGAAAGTGCTAGACATCTCTTCAAGCGAGAAGAGCACCCCGCCAATAGGACTGCCAAAGGCGACGGCCACGCCAGCGGCAGCGCATGCGCTGAGGACCTCGCGGGTCTTGGACGCATTCTGGCGGTACTTCGCAAATAGCCTGGAAATGACATTGCCGGTGCAAACCGCGTAGTGGACACTGGGCCCTTCCTTTCCGACGGAGAGGCCAGACGCGATGGCAAGTGGTAGGGCAAGCGATTTGATGACCAGGGTCCAAAAGCCGAGGAAGCCTTTCATGACGAAGCCTGCAATAATGCATTTGATCTCGGAAATGCCCGAGCCTGCTGCGTAGGGGGCATAAGCCTTGACAAGGGTGGCGGCTGTGAGTGCGAACAGCGTCTGGGCCCGGTCAGTGTCCCATATGAGGCTGCGGGCGAGTGGTTGGCGGGACGAACCGCGAATATGATGTATATGATGTAGTTGATGGGCTCCAGGCCCGTCCACCGATGCCAGTCATTGCAGGTGCCTACCGTGCCGTCAGCATCACTCGTATAAAACAGATGAGCTGAGGGGATTACCATTGTCGGCGCCCCAGCAACAGAAATCCTCGTTCAGGTAGAACTTGGTGGTACAGTAGCCAAGCTTGATATCGGCCAGCCACTCGGTGATGATGCTGAGAAACGCCGCGTTCAAGCCAATCGCGGCGCCAATGATAGTGACGACGATCCACCCCTGAGCGGCATCGTAGGCTTCCCGGATCTTCTGCCTCCAGTCGACCTGGCCGGAGCCGTATAGACCGGCCTGCCGTTTCCGCCGTGCCTTTCTCCGCAACTGCTCTCGGGCAGCATCCTGGACCCAGTCTGCCTCATGTCAACTCATCGGCTCGAACTGCGCATCTATTCTGGGGTTTGCATACCGATGGTGGTGAAGTCCTAAAGCAACGGTGATGTCAATCGGGCGAAACTTGGGCGCACCGGAGAAAGACGGGCAATGCCAACCTCGTAGCGCTTGATCTTTGCAATCTCCTCCTCTATCTGATCCTGCCCCGCGATTCCCCCTCCATCCTGGACCTCGCCGCGCTCGGCGATGGAGACGACAGACGACAGTCGAGAGCTCACCGAGGGTCGTCGCACTACCGATGGAACGGTCGAGAGGGATGTAGACCGCGATGCGGAATTCATGGCGCCCCGTGGCCGCCTTCGGGTGTCAACTATCTGGGCGACATCGAGGTTCCAGGATCGTGCTAAGGTACGTTTGCAATGCGTGCGACGGCTCGTCGTTGGCAAGTGCTAAGGGCGAGAGCAAGGCTGACCTGGCCAAGTGTCGAGGCTGAGCAGCACTGAACAAAGCCCGCCCCTTCTTACATAGGTACAGTATTCAAGTTATCCGTAGAAAGGCCCAGCCTTGCCGATGTCTTGGCGACCACCAGGGCAAGAGCTGATTGAGTGGGGCAGCAAAGTCCGGTCGCGTCTGCGCGTCCACTTAGATGGCCCGGGACCTCGTTTCCTCGTCAAATACCATGTTCTAGCCGCTTGCATGTAGGTACTTGATACATACCGAAAAACGAACTGTGGTTCTACTCCTGGGGCTATGCCTATACAGTAAGCGGGAGTTCACTCATCCGATCGGCCTAAACCATCACGCACCACTGAGTCCACAGTCCGTCCCAAGTTTCTCGACCGTGGGCTTTTCGCCTTCACCCAAATCCTTCACAACTCTTCTCGAACCATCACTCAAAAATGCCCTACAACACCACGGCAATCCCTCCGAGAAAGGAGGTAACCGGCCAGACTTTACTTCCCCGTCAGTGGCACTCCCTTTCCATAGCTCACCCAACGTGCTGACTCCTTCTCAGTCACCCGAGTCAAGAAGATCATCGCAGTAGACCCAGACATCAGTGTCTGCTCCAACAACGCTGCCTTTGTCATCACCCTGGCGACGGCAAGTTTTGCCTGGCTGTCTGACATAGAACCCCAGGACCGCCGCTGACATGGCCCCCCAGGAAATGTTCGTGCAGTACCTCACCAGTGAAGCCCAGAATATGACCAAGCTGGAACGCAAGCCGCGGAGGAATATTCAGTACAAGGACATGGGTAAGAACCACCTCTTCCTACTCGTTTTCTTGACGGCTTGCTTGGAGAACACACTAACGACACCACCAGCGAATGCCGTAACCCATCAGGACAACCTCGAGTTTCTCGAGGACGTCATACCCAAGACAAGCTCCTACAAGGAGGTCAAGGCCAAAGCAACCGCGGCACGCGCCAGAGTCAGTGGCAGTAAGGCCACCGGGACATCCGCCGCCGAGGACGAGAGGCCTACAGACAGCATGCCCAACGGCAAGCGACCCAAGACCGTATTGAACGGCAACGGTGTAAACGGCTTGTCGCGGGGGGCCAGGGTCTTGTCTTCGGACGCTGCAGATCCCAACGATCAACTCGAGACGGAGATGAGACAGGCGCACCAGGACGACGGGGACGTTGACATGACAGGCTAGGTGCCTGCGACTTGTCATCGGCCGTGATAGTTAACATCAAACCTCTGCATCCCTCTTCACAGATGTACTCGTACATATCAACACCGCCGACAGATGACCTAGCTCCGTATACCCACAATGGTTTGGTGCACATGCCAACAAGCACCGTGCCTTCATTTTCCTGCCCTCACCGTGCGAGCATCACTCCTCCATCGCATCATCCACCATAATTCCTGACGGCAAACGTCCCTCATTGAGTGCTTTCTCCAACCTGATGATCTCCTCCAAGCTGTCGGCCTTCTTGATCATCTCCTGCAGCTTCTTGCGCTCCTTGTCGGTAAGCTTCAGCCGCGACAGCTTGGACCCCTGCCCGCCAGCCGCGCCGTTCGCGGCGCCCACGTCGAACGTCTTGCTCTTGATACCCATTATCTAGCGGGGTCCAGTATCAGTGACCTGGCCAACTTCCAAGGGCGAGCCCAGGGGAGGGGAGAGGTGCAACTTACCCGGGATGCCAACTCAGTCGGGGCTTCAGTCGAGCCAAACAGCTCCTTTGCCTTCTGCCGCTCGGCATCCTTGACCTTCTGGTAGTCCAAGAACCGGACGGTCGGACACCGCCAGAGGACCCAGTACCGATAATGCTGCCCCCCGTCCAGTCAGCAAACTCCCACTTCATCAACGCTCCCCCAATGCCTGTCGACTAAAACGCACCTCCTTCTTCGTAACGGGGTTATCCATCAGCACGAGGTGCGTCAGCCTCGGAAACCGGCCGAGCACGTCGAGATCCGCCAGCTCGGCCAGGTTGTTCCCCGTCAGCACGAGGTTCCTCAGCCCCGGTACGGCATTCGGCAGGTTGGGCTGCAGACTCGTGATGCGGTTGCGCGCGAGCAGCAGGGTGCGGATGCGCGGCGACAGCGGGAAGTTGCCAAGCACTTGAATGTCGTTGTCGGTCAGGTCTATGGCGTCGTGGGGCTACAGCACAGTGGTCAGCCAGCAAATCATCCACTGTATTGCCTCCCAACCAGACCTCTTCGTTTTGAGAGAGAAAGAGAGAGAGAAGGTACGTACGCCGGCAACGCCCAGGTTCTCGATTGCGGGTATTCGGTGACCTGTAAATGCGGATGCGCAAACAAACACGCTGAGATAAACCCCGTCTTCTTCTTTATGACTTCAACAGAACTCTGCGGCCAAGCTTGAAATAGATCAACTGTGCAGTATCTGTTCTTTTCAACGCACCTCGGAGGTCCAACTCGCGCTCCTTGAGCGGGTTGAGGTAGGATAGGGAGTTGTTGATGAGGTCTGCCGTGAGCCTCATTTTGGCCGATTATTTTACTCTTGTAGTTGTCGTTCACTTGGTCTTCTAAATCTTCGCTAGGTTCCGTGATGTTCGGGTGGTTGTCGAGAGCTTGGCGAGCGGCCGGCTTTGTCAGGGTCTCTGTCGTCGGGAATGGGGGATTCAAGGCCCGTCATTAAGATTCCGGATCAGAGAAGCAAAGCCAGCTCCACAAGGCTGAGAGTGGAAATTTTGGCGGGTCTGCTTGGCACTTCACAGAGAAGTGACCCTAACCCTTATTTATGCCTTGCTCAACTGAACCCTTACTCCCACTCCTCCTCAATCATGAATACATGTTACGGAGTAGGGGGCCAGACATTCATAAAGCTTTCTGATCTCGCACCAAGGATCAAAATTCCCAAAAAAACAAGGTCCCTTCATCTTCAATAACCCTACCCATGTCCCGTCACGCCATATCCACCTCCTAAATGACCCAAAGGTCGACTGTTCTCCCTTGAAGCCCCATGACTCTTCCAAGCACAGACACATACATACCCTCACTCACTGAAAAACAAAGACAACCCCACTCCTATCCACCGAGACACTCATCCCATAAGGCGACTCCAGCAACGCCACATCCACGACTGCATCTAAATGCCTCCTCAGCAACTGCTGCTGCTGCAACGAAATAACCGTCGACTTGGGTGGCCTAGCACTACCCGGCGCCGTCGACGACCTGCCCCTGCCACTCCTCCCCGTCCCGCCATTCACCGCCAACCCCACCGGCCCCGCAGTCATCTTCTGCCACCGCTCCGTGTTCAGCGTAAGCGACGGCGTGGGATGGCTGGCCGTGTAGGTGGGGCGGACCTCGTCCGGCATCAGGCCGCTGTACACCAGGCTATTCTCGATGCGCGCCAGGTCCCAGAAGCGGAGCCTCTTATCCGAGCCCCCCGTGACAATGAACGCGTGCCTGACCTCGCCGCGCTGCTCATCAGCCACACCCGTGCCGACCACCATGGCGCGCACGCCGCGGTCGGCGTTGCCCGTCGCCGACGGCTCAATCTGCGTCGCGAACCGGCCTAGCATGCCCTCGGGCCTGTCCTCGTCCACCTCCCACGCTTCGTACCCCCTGGGGCCTTCCTTGTTGCTGCTGCCGCCGCCGACGCGGTAGATCTCGCGGCACATGGTGCGCTCCAGGTCCCAGACCGTCACCTCTCCCTGTCCCGTGCCGCCGGCGACGCAGACCCACTTGCCCCTGCCCTTGGACGGATGGATGCACAGGCGGTAGATGGAGCCCTTTCCGGGTAACCCCCAGCCCTTGAGGCGCATCTTGAAGCGGAGGTCCCACAGGTCGAGCACTCCATGCGACGTGCCCAGGCAGAGCCAGTTGCGCTTGCGGTCAATGCAGAAGCAGGTCGGCGTGCCGTGGTGCACGGGGTTCTCGAGCTTGTAGAGGAGCGTCATGGTGCGCAGGTCGATGCCGCGGACGACCGACTTGTTGGTGGCCAGGACCAGGACCGAGTTGGCGTCCTGCTTGAAGTGCTCGCACCAGACGGCGAACTCGCCGTCCATCAGCTTGTACTCACGCAGGAGGCGCAGTCGCGGGTACCGGAAGTTGATGCCGCTGAGGACCGTATCGGCCTTAACGATATGGACGAGGCCGTCGCTGGCGCAGCTGACAAATGTGTGTGTGTTCTCGATGAAACACAGAGCCAGCACCCTGGCCCCCGCGGCGTGCCTGTGGGTCAATCTCGACCGGTGAGTGACGTTACGCTCCAGCCGTGCCGTGTCCCAGACCTTGACACATCCGTCGTCGCCGCCCGTGAGGAAGAACTGATGATCGGGAGAAACCACGACCCTGTTGATCGCCCCGACGTGCTCCGAGAACGTCGCCACCAGCTTGCCCGACGGCTTCCAAACGTCGTCAACCGCCGACTGAGACGCCGTCGAAGCATTATTTTTCTGACGCCTAATCGGCGTGACAAAAGGACCATAGTCGTAAAGGTCATGTGGGTAGTTGTCGACATACATCTCATCAAGCATCTTGAGGATGTTGGGGTCGTTGCCCGTGTAAGTGTGGTTGGCCTGCAGCCGTATTGCCGCGTATTCCAGCGCCGAGTCCCTCTCGGCCTGCGATGTGATTCGTGTCGGAACCTGCCTGAACGGTCCTTCGACCTCGCCAAAGGCGTTGGCCTCGGTTGTACCGGTCTCGGGGCCAGACTTGCCACTGTCCTTGCGGTTGAGAAGATTGATAGCGCTGGACTGGTGCCGCAGCCCTCTCCTTGTCGCGTAAGGAGCGTCCTTAACGGACCCATCGTCATCTAAAGGCGAGAGCGCGGTAGGCTTGCCCTGAGCAACAGAGGTTCGACCGCTGGATGGCCCTGTCCCATTCCTGGTCGTCTGAGAAACGACTAGGTCATCCTCCAGCGGTCGCCTGCTGTCCACGGACATCGGCGACATACTATTCCTGCTACCGAGCCGAGCGCGGTGGTTATTCAACGCCGCTCGCCGCTTCTTCCCGACAGGGTCATCGATCGACATGGACGCGTCAAGAAGCGCGTCCTTGATTGTCCGCGGGGCGCTTGCATCCCGGTCGAAGGCGATCACTGGCGGGACTAGTGGCTCCTCGTCGAACAGGACAGTCTGCGGCATGACACCCAGGCTACGAATCGAGATGATGTTGTTGAGCGCTGCCGTGCTCACTGTACCCTGCGCGGCCGAGTCCCTCGCCTTGATCTGGCTCAGCCGCCAAATAAACTCCCTAAGAGCGAGCAGCTTCGGCTCATCTTCCTCAGCAAGTCCCAGATTCCGCAGCTTGTTCAGCCACTGCTCGTCCTCCTCATTTTTTGTTGCCTTGGCCAAGGCCTGAGGGTTGAAGTCTGCCTTGGAGGAGATGGGCCCCGATACGGCATCCCTAAGCTTCTTAAATGGTTTCCAGAAAGCTGCCCTCTCAGTCTTGGACGCCCACAACAGTGCTTGGTCAAACACCGACCGCGATAGCGGCTTTTGAAGCGCCTCAAGCAAACCAAGTTCGGTGAAAGGGGGTAGCCTGTGCGGCTTGAGGTATGGCGTCAGCTTGGGGATCACCTGGACCCTGAGGTATGCTGGGCTCAGGAAGCGCGAGCCAGCCGAGATGAACTCGACAGCCGACTCACGGATCCAGATGTTGGGGTGCATTGTGAACCGCCCAACAATCACCACCAGCTCGAGATATGTCTGCTTCGTCAAGAGTCCCAGATTTGCCAGCTCCGCGAGCGAATGGAGCGCTCCCTGAACCACGTGCTCTTCCGAATCCGTGATAGCTTGGACCATGAGGGGCAGAATGAACTTCTCCAGAGTATTGCTCCCCAGAAACGCCGCGATACCAACGATGGTGTCAAAGAAAGCGCATTTCAGCATCCAATCGCGGTCATTCAGATAAGTATTGAGATGTGTGAGGATAATGTCGTTGGCCTGGGCAGCACCGAAGAAGATGCACAAGTCGGGGACCGAAGTGAGAAATGCCCTTCGAACAAAGGGCTCCGGGTCCTCAATGAGAGTCTTGGTGTGGGCCTCGAATATCTCGGCGAGCTCCCGTCGAGCGTTGTCGAACAGCCCCGCAAAGGCCGCCCCGGCCTCATTGCCGGGCTCAACTTCAGGATCAGCCAGAGCGGCGGATCCATCCGCCCGCAGCGTCGCAGCCATGGCGAGGAAGCGATCCGCTGTGATTGCCAGCTTCCCGAGGCAAGATGCGTATGTCGCCCGGACGATCGGGCTCAACGTCCGCTGGGTGTCCAGCAGCAGAGGTTCCATCCGAGGCATGATGTAGTCTAAGAAGATCTGCGAGTTCACAGGGGTGATGACCTTGACCAAGTCGAGGAGTTGTGTAATAGCCCGGGTCGCCGAGACCACAACCATGTCGCACTTGTCCTTAAGCAAGATAACTAGGTATGGAAGGACGCGGTCCAGCTTTGCTTCGTCCGTCAGGCGCTCTGCAAAGGCGAGCAGGATGTCGCAGGCCTTGATCCTCGCGGCGGCGTGTGCCGTGTTTCGGAGGCTTGAGACAACCAAGGTCAGGAAGATGAGTGTGCCGTCGTCGGCAGAACCTTGCTTTTCCGCCGAGACGTAATGCTCGTTGTTCGGAATATTGAGCCTCACAGGGAAATTCCCCAGGCCGAGTCTCGGGGAAAGCTGGGACTCCTCCGCCGGCTTCTCGCCGTTCTGGTAGCCCAGAAAATACGAAATCTTGTCAAAGTCCAGCCATACCCGCTCGATGCGCTTGTCTGCTTTGCTGATATTCCCTGCTGGTTCTCCTGAGACGTATTGACCAGACGAGAGGTCGGTGATGACCTCCATATACTGATGCAGGAAGGTGTAAAAATAGTTTGGGAACACCTTGCCCTTCCAAAAGTCCAGGTACTGCTCGGCAGAGTATCGCTTCTGGGGATCCAGCTGAATCATGTGGACAACCATCTCTCGCAGGTCCCTGTCCGGGATCTTGCTCAGATGCGAGATGCTCGGATCGTACTCACCCTTCCGATACGAATAGAGCTGGCTCAAGCTGAATATGCGCGTCTCGAGAAACAGCTCGGCAATGACACAGCCGGCGCTGAAGACGTCCATGGCCCAGGTCACCTTGGCGTTCGGGTCGGCTTCTTCGCCGGGCGGCAGGAACCTCTCTGGTGCAAGGTAGCAGGTCCTCTTGCCAGACGTGTCGAAGAAATACGAGAAATCGCCGGGGTTATCCTCGGGCAACATGACGCGCTTGAAGGACGATGAGAAGTCAGAGAGGTAGAGCCAGTTCCACGACGTCACAAGTATGTTTTCGGTCTTGATGTCGCCGTGATAGACGCCCTTGCTGTGGCAATCGCGGAGGGCACACAGAAGCTGGAACGCCAGCCACTTCTTCTCGATGTCTTCCAGAAACGGCCTGGTGCTGAGGCGGTCGTAGAGCGAGTTGTAGAGGAATTGGCGGACAAGATATCCATTCGTTTCGGTCTCGATGGCTCGTTGGTACGGTAGGGCATTCGGCACGTCGGCTAGAACTCGTCGCTCGCCTGGAGGACAACAGACATCAGCACAACTGAGTTGTCACAGCGATCAAGAGCCGGTTCCCTAACGAATAATCTCCTGCTTGTATTTGTCCAGGGACATGGGGTATGGCTTGATGAGGACCTTGGCCAGCACAACACCATCGTGATGCCGCGCTCGAACACTCTTCATGAAGCCTCCGGTACCGACGGACCGTTCGTAGACCAAGTCGCCGAGCTCTGGAACATCGATGCCGGCGCCCCCAGCGCGGGGGGCGGCAAGGGAAAAGCCCTGGCCCATCGTTGTTGGGGGATTCCAATGCCTGTTATCTCAAGTTCTAGCTACCTCGGGCAGAATTTCGGAGGGTCGTGGCACATCTTGACCAAGGGCCTCGTTTGACTTGGAATCAAGTGCGGTGAGTTTGGCAGTCGGCGGTTGGCAGTCGGCGGTCAGCAGTGCAAGAACCTTGCGTGTCGGAAGGGGAGCGAGCGTCTTGGCGATAACGCAATGAGAGTAATACGTCCAGCCCAAAGTAATTCTTCGGCGGGAGGATCACGACGTGCAGTTGACAAGCACAAGCTCGGGGGCATGTGCAACAACTGAAGCTCCCGGGCCATGCTGTCTGCCTCGTGCCTCCATCAACGACAGCGAATGGATCTGGAGAGATAAGATAAGCCTTGCAGCTGCGGAGGCTGGACTGGAGCTTAACCAACTAGCGCGCGAGCTCTCACCGGAGGTTCCATTTCAGGAGAGTCGAGCTCATCAATAAAGGAGCTTGGTTGCGTGTATTCAGTATGGCAAAGTCGCTCATATCAACCTGACGTTACCTGTCAAATTACCTTCAATATCACACGAAAGGTGTTCTCAGCATACCATTGAGACCTCATCAATATCCCAGTAGGTCGAGTTGTTATAACCATCCAGTAGTCCGTCTCGCGCTCTATAACTAAGGCCCAAGGGAACACAACAATCACAAACAACCAGGTGCCCTGCTACTTCGTTCTTTTGAAGTCTAACTAAAGAGAACTTGGCTCTACCAGTAGGCGAAGAATATCTGCTGAATATCTGTGGCTTTGTTTTGAAATGGCCATGGTCCTGCTTCGATAGCCGTTGAGCGGGCACTGGTAGCTTGCAGGTAGCTTATTGGGAAGGTAAATCTTGCTGCCCTCCTCCTCTCTTCCTCAGAGAAAGACACCCGTCTAGGGAGCTGCATCTGATCTCCCTTACGAAGCCGGTCTTGAAAGTAGTTTCCACGCCTCAAACACCACTGATGGCGGCAAACCGGGGTATATAGAATAACAACGAAATGGAAAGTATGGCGTCCTGCCGCAATGCGAGAGCCTAACCCGACGGTCCATTTCCGGTCCGGGTGTTGGCATGGCCGGAGAGGAGCTGGGACGCCCAAGCGTCATGGCCCCGGAAAGGGAGCCATTCCAGGAAAACAGCCGCCTCTACCGGTAGCCGGAGGTTCGTGGAATCTCCCAGCTCCAGAGATCGCTAATATCAAGAAACCGCCAGGGGCAGAAAGCCAGGTAATATCGTGATCCCAAAAACGCCGTAGACAATGCCGCAACAAAAAAGAACCAGCGAAGCGTTCATCGAGCATCATTGGAAGTCTAGTCGAGAGAAAATGCGTTCGTCATCATACGCAAGCGCGCTCAGGGTTGCGTCGTCATGTACGGATTCGCGCTGGACGTGTCGGTCGAGCCGTCGCCGTCGATCGTCCTCTTCCAGTGCTCCGGAAGGCAGACGCACACCAGCGGGAATGCCTTGATTTCGCCGCTGACGGGCGGCGAGTCGTCGCGCGCTCGCCCCGATGTGTTCGACACCCCGCTGTCTCTTTGAGCTTGGCGGCGCGCCTCCCACTGCTCCGCCCGCTCGTCCACCATGACACCCGTCGCCCAGCCGTCGTCCCATATGCCCACCACCTTGATCATGTCGCCCCGATCCAGCAGGAACTCGTCCGCCGCCCGTGGCTGGTACGCCCAGAGAACGGCAACCCGGTCTCCGGGGTGGATGTCGTCTTGAGAATAGTAGTCTTTGAAGAAGGGAAGTTGCTCAGACTGTTGGCTACTCGATACTCCCTGCGGCGACGACAAGGCTCCGGAACTCGGCGACTGCACATCCTCACCCGCCAGGACCGAATTGCTGGAAAGAGACCCGTTTCGCTTCAGCATTGTCGGCGGCGGTCGGAGAACGCCAACGGCGGCACGGTCAGATGCCGGACTGTCACCGAATCCATCCGACGATGAATGGTCATCAACTCTCCTCCTGCTGCTAGTACGATACCCTCCTGCGGTCCCTGGCACAGACCGAGGCGTATCGCGGGCCGTGTGACGCGACGGCGACTCGCCGGAATGGCCCTCGAGAGCCGACATTCGGGCAATCCTTCCACCAGGAAGCACCTCAAAACCAGCGGACGTGCCAGTCCTCCCCATCTGCGACGGCGGGCCCTGGCGAGCGGGCGACGGCTGGTTGAAAATGCTGCCCTTCTGGCTGCCACCCCGCCTCCTCCTGTAGACAAGCAAGCCAAATATAATGGCAGCCAAGAGCGCTGCGCCCAGAAGAGACCCAACAACTATGCCCGCAATTTGCCCTCCGGATAGGCCGCCACCGCCACCTGCCTGGTCCTCATTAGGAGTTGAAGTTGGCGTTGCCGTTGCTGTGACTGTCGGGAGATTGATGGGTGTGATACTCGGGAGGACGACGCCGGCACAGCGGGTTTCGGCATCGGCGCTATAGCAGCAGGTATCGGTCGAGTTGATTCCGCCCGCGGCGCAGTAGGAACAGAGCCCTATAGTGCTGTTGCCATAACCGCAGTTCTCGGGCTCGTTTGTGATGCCCGGAATGCAGTCTCGACTCGATAACGACTTGTCAGGCAGGGCGCAGTTCGTGAAATCCGCCCGGATCTGCGACTGCGCATTGCTACCGGGATTGGGGCAGACTGAGCTGTCCGCCAGGACATAAGCCTCGGCTTGTGCAAATTGTGCCTGTAGCTATGATCAACACGGAGCTCGCTCTTAGGACGGGGTTCAACCTACGCATGTCTCGGCGCAGACAGGTCGAGAGTCTGCCGCCGCGAGGTTGCAGGGTCGAATGGAATTCTGGATAATAGCATTACAGATTACTGTAGTCGTGAAGCGTGCATAGAGGTCACTTGTGTTGGTGTAGTCGATGCTTGTGCAGCCAAGGAGAGTCGAGTACCTAGCAGAACTGTCAGATCCTTCCCGAGCTTCAGATCTGCCTCGGCACTTGGGGGCACTGACTTTTCCCGGACGTAATCGGTCTGTACGTAGGACGTTAGAAGCGCGTCAAGCATGTCTACGTTGGACGCAAACTGAAGAAAGGGACTGCAGGAAGAGAGTCAGTTTATCACACCACGACACGCGGATTCTGGTGCACATACAACAGCCCCACGACATGGTTGTCCGTGGTGGACACGGCGGCCGACTGGAAGGCAGAGCATGCCTTGGAGCCCTTGAGCGATAGGCACGCAGACATGGCGGCCGACGGCGTCGAGAAGAGGGCCAGCAAAGAGGCTCAGGTGTTGCGAAGTCCTTGCCTCTTCCCGAACTGTCTATGACTCGAGGTGGCTGCCACGTTCTCGAAAATCTCTCCGGTTCTCGAGCTGATACCAGTTGAGGAGCCTCTGATTGTCCTTTCGATTGTCAGTGAGTTCCCGGTAGTTGTGTCACTGCTGTGCCGTATTCATGGTCGTTCCTCGGGTTTGCCACAGCTCATGGGCCTCCGGTGCTGGGCAGTTTCGCAATGTAGCTGCGAGCTTGGCGGCGGTCTGATACCACGAAGGCCTGCGATTGAACGAAGCACTCCTCCACGCGGTGAGCGCTGGCCTGCGTGTTTTGATTAGGGGGCAACGACCGAGATCGGCCTGCCCGCCGCGCAAGGTTAAGCAGAGAGCTTGTGTATGAGTTTGCGGCAACAGTTCGAGGTAAAGCAGACAGTCTCCACCCGGAACGGCGGCGACGCTGTTTGCTCTTCTCGTCGACGGGTCGACGCAGCTCAAATCCACTCGAATAGAAGCGCAGGCACGATGCGGCAGGACCGTCCGTGGGCAAGGTGAGACGGTGAGGTGCAGGATCCCCAAGGCAGCCGCGAGAAAGAGACGCGAAGGAGCGAATGGCGAACCGGCGGTTCCAATCCCCTCTTGGGTGGGGGTTTGCTTTCGGAACCCAACAAGGGAAGCGAATGAGCGGGAGCGGGAGAGCGGGAAAGTGGTCGGGTCGAAACGAGTGTGAAAAACGAGAGAATAGAAGGAGCGAGCCGAGCCTGTTTGGTGTGGAGGTCTGGAGGACCGTGGGTCCAAATTTGTTCTTTGTCACCCCTCAGTAGAGCTTGAAGAAGCAAAGCGGCTGGCGAGAATCGAAGAAGAGACAAAAGCGTGCAGGTTTGGCGTCTTCAGCAAAACGAAACTGGGAGATTGGTGTCAGACCCACGATGTCCAATTTCGCTTGAGGTTGAGGTCCCTGGGCGCGGCTTTCCTCATAAGGTTAGCAGCTTCCAGACCCCCCTGTTCGGTGAGTAATTGCACCTCTGTAATCCGTACCTGCTCGTGTTGTTTCTCCAGGCTGTGACTTCTGGTCACCGTGTCTCAAAACTGAAGGAGGCTTGGGACAAAATGGCAATGCCATCGTGGCAAGAATGGGCGGTCAGGAGGAACACCAAGATGAGGGTGGTAAGCATAAACGCCATGCAACCAGCAGACAATGCAGTCGCTCCACGGTAGTTACTAGGCAGTACAAACATTGGGAGCTCAAGAGGTCTTGGCATCGCAACTATAGACTGGCCCCTGCCTGTGCAGAACGACAACGTCCGCCTGTCGAGTTATCTGTCAAGACAAGCTAGCCATTGCAGACAGGTCAAGCCGAGAGCCAGGCCGCTCGTTCAAGGTTTACGTCGAGCTTCTGATGCGTGTCATCATCAACTATGCCGCAGTATCTCAGAGCAGGTGAGAACACCTACGGTAGTTATCGGATTTGCTCAGCGACTTGTAATTTGCATATAGGTGCCTGTCGTACGGTCACACGACGTGACTGAACGAAAACTCCAACTGCAACCCAAGCTAAAGCTTGCGTAAGACCGACGAACGAATACTGAATTTGTTTCCAAAACGATATTTGAAGCCAGCCTGACAAATAATGTAGTGTAGACAGAGCTGGTACGGAGGTATTTCGTCCATAGAAGTGATTCACATACACGTGTAGACTCGGAATCTGAAAACAGCCTAGCTTTTGAGCTGGAGCTCAAGCTTCGGTGTGCGGGAGCTTTCCGAGGTTCAGCACATGGTTGTGGGGGCATTGACCCAATGGCGTCGTGGAGCCCTGGAATCGTGGAATCAGGCGGTTCCAGACTCGGCGCATTCTGAGATGTCCTAAACTGAACACAAATCTTCCTGAAACCTCGTCCTTGCAACAACGCATTGGGAAGCCGTTTGTTTTCGTTTCATATCCGATCAATGCACGTGCCTTTTCACAGCATAAATAAGCGCTCCTCGTGCAGGCGGATGTGACGACTGGCTAGTTGAACGCGATGCCTCAGGGAATGAGATCTGACTGCCTGTCATTGGTGTTGGGTATCTGAGGCTCCAGCCACCGAAGCCCGGCGGGAAAAGGCGCAAAATCAAACCAAAATGACACCCTCCTGCTACAAATGGTTCGAGGCCAACGTTCTCTTCACGTCGCAGCGTGTACAGCCGCCTTTCCCTGCCCGCGCAGACCGTCCAAATCAAAGCCGTCAATGTTGTCCGGCAAATCGGGACTGCAGCCCTCCAGCAAGCCTCAAGTCAGCCCCAGTGACGACGATATCATGCTGCCCCTGACTTCGTAGGAGCGCCTCTATGACAAACGTTCAATAGACATGGGAAGTTGAGCCTCAAAGAGAGGCCTGTCCACTCTCCCAACGTCCCTGGCAACAGATCATTGTTGCTCCGGTTTTGGCTAACGTTATCATGTCGCCGCGAAACATTGGCTTCCAGGCCTTGAAACGTGTGCCAACCACTTATTCCCCGTTTGTCTGTCCGGTTCCCGTTGATACTTCTTACGAGCTTGGACGGGTGTCCTCTGATTTCGAAACGGCTACACCTGGTTGGCAACTATAAGCCGGGTCCTCCTCCGCATTCCTACTGAAAGATTGCCCTGGGCTGGTCCCGTGGAGAGGTTTCAGACATGCGGCGATCACGCCCCGCGCCTGTCGGGAATTTTATGCGATGGCACCCTGCCTATACATCCTTCCCCAGGTTGTTTGACACGCTCTCCTGCAAACGACTATGCTGTCGTCGGATCACCTATGTAGTTGCTGAAGTGTAAGTCATCCGATATCACATCTACCTCTTGGGAGGAACAGACACACTTAATGAGACGACCTTGGGTGAATCCAGACACTGGATCGGCACCAGCGGGACTGCCAGGGCTGCCAAACCGCCGGCAGTCCTGGTTACATTTTGTCCCATAAGGTTCGCCGGTCTCCGTGGCCGAGAGCAGCAGATCGCAACGGGAGTCAAGTAATCGACGGGGGCGGGCGCGGAGATCCCAAGGACGAGTCTGCGACAGGTCCAATGGTTGGGTAATAGGTCTCCTGAGTACAGGGGCATCTTGCATTTCAGTGTGGATGAAGGGCGGTAATTGAAACTAACACCTGGTGTGATGCAATCCGATCTGTCGGCGATGATAACCTTTGAGTTTATGACTTCGTCCGCATGATCCCTCAGCCGGGCACGGTACGCATGAATGGTCAAAGCTACCTTGACCTTACTTACCCTCGCTGCCTGCGTGCCAAGGAGATCCAGTGTTCTGAACGCCTTTGTTGCCCGGCTTATATGGCTTCTGCCGTGAACATGGTAGCCGGCCAAGGGCTGTTGGTTTCTGGCCGTCAGGGCAGCAATCGGTCTTCAGGGAATTGGAGGTGGAGGGCCGTCAACGTGGCTGGTTTCCTGGGCTTCAACAGCAATGAGAGAGAGGTGTCGATTGTTCGTTCAACCTCGCTCTTCTGTTGAATAGCGGCCACTGTTCTCTCATATGCGCTGCTACCCTCATGGCATCTGCGCGTATTTTGTACTCGCAACGTCTCCATACCCTCTCAGTTTAATTGCAGCGTTGACCCTCGAAATGCTAAAGAAATCGCTCCTCGTCTGACCATAAGCTGCTTTTCTTCCCCCGACCCACTGGCACTGACTGGTTTGGAAAAGAAAACATCAATAAACCCACCGCCGCATAACGAACACGAACAGCTCCAAATGGGCCCCCGTTGCTTACGCCTGCCTGGATCCTTCACCCTGACTTGTTGACGAGTTGCCTGCCGCAGTCGAGGCACCGTCGCGCCCTTCCGTGACATCACTTGACGAGAATCCCCCGGCCGAAGAGGCACCGTCTCTAACACCACTCGCCGAAAATCTGGCCGCAGAAGAGGCACCGTTTTCTGGCCCATATCCCTCGCCGTCGTGGTGGTCCTCTACACCTGCTAGCCAGGCCCATGTCTCAGTAGAGGCACGCTTTTGCAGACCTCTGACAAGATCTCCCGACCGGCTGATTCTGATACGAGGCAGCGGGCCCGGCTTCTGTACGCTCTCGAGGCGTTGAGCCTCCTCGTCGATGCCATAAATCTCTTGCTGTGCGGATAGATTCACCGTCAGCACATCTCAACCCTGAAGAGGAACGCTTTGCTTTTCAAGGAACTTACCATCACCTTCGTCACCGTCTCCCAATCTTCATCGTCCACCAAAGTGCTGCCTGGTAGCGACAAAGAGGAGAAGTTGCCAGACTTCATGACACTCCACCGGCTCGGCGTCTTTGCCACCGGCGGCATTGCCACGTCCGCAACCACCTCCATCTCGGCTTTCGTTTGCTTCCTCCTCCTCAACTTCCCGAAGGGCCCAGCCAGCGCCACCGGACCGCCTGGGATTCCATAATCAGCCCACGAGGACGAATAGTGCCCCGGCGCACGGCTTCCGTTGGGGATATGAAAACGTTTGTCGAACCTCGACACAGTGTACGTGAACACCACTATCCACTCGATCCCAAAGTTGAAGCAGTAGAAGCAGGCCTTGCTATGGAACCATGCCGGGTTCGCGACCGGACGGGGGAAATAGGCGACGGCGACTCTGAACACGGCGCCCAGAGTCAGCAGGGAGGCCGTGAACGTCAGCAACCCGAACTTGGTGCGGAAGTGGCCCTCCCCAAACTTGTCGATCCTGACCTTCCTCGGCACCAAAACCGCCAGCGTGACGAGCACCACAGGCAGGAACGCGTACACGGCCAGGTACGTGCCGCAAACCAGCTGCACCGTCCGGTCCGCAATCTTGGGCGGCGACCCGTCAATCACAAAAAAGCTCTGCACCGTCGCCGTCACAACCGCAACCATGGCCATGACAGCGCTGCCAAACAGCATCCCAAACAAACCCGTCACCGGCCGGCTCCACCCAAAGAAGGGATGATACGACCGCACGACCCGCTGCGCAAACACGAGATTTACGAGCAACAGTATCAGCACGCCCGCCGCGGTGAGCACCTGGCTCGCGATGGCCAGCCGGATGTTGCGCGGGTGCGCCGCCCAGGCGATGCGCAGCGAGAGCGCGGCGATGCGCCACACGCTGAACTTGACGAGCAGGGCGGAGAACAGGAACTTATACCCCTGCCGGCGGTTACGGCGGAAGACGGTGATGTTGCCAAATGCGGCCATCAGGAACAGCACGACGAACACCCCGCTGATGGTGCCGTCGACCTCGGCGTTCGGGATGCCGCCCACGGCTGCCGTGCGCGGCGCATAGGGCGGGCCGGCTTGTGAGGCCTGGGATGGTGAGGAGCCGTTAGTACTGGATGGGGTTGAGTGGAAGGGAGGGGTGGTGGGAGCGAGCATCTGCTGTGTCCGGCATGTCTCGAGCTCCGGCGTATGGATCAACCAGAGCTTCACAATTCTCACGCAGCACACAATTTTGCCAGCTGCTGCTTTCCTCCCCAGCAATTGAGACGTACCGCAGACCCAGAGCCGGGTCCGGACCCGGTTGCGGGAGCGGCCGCGCTTGATGTAGTCCGGCTCGACATTGTACCTTGGTTTGCCAGGCTTCAAGAGGAGCGAATAAACCTGAGCAGACGTTGAAATGAGATGTAATGAGATGGCGATCGCAGTTGTGAAAAGAAAGGTGTCAGGCAGAAAACAAGCGGACTGCATCCGGGGAGGCGAGGGTGTGAGGGAGGTGCATGCATATTGTCCCAGTGCGATGCTCTGCACACTTATTATGGTTCTTTGACCTCGATCAAGTGCAAGCGGGGTCTCCGGGAAGCTCAGTCTGAGCCGTGACCTGCGTCCCGGCCACATCATCTGCATTTATGGTGGTGAGAGATATATGGGTGGTGAGTGCTCGATCGCATGGCTTTACCGTCACGCAGTGGTTGCGGAGTGCCCAAGGAAAGATAAGGACCATGGCCCGTCCGCCAACTCGTTGATCAGATGTACAGCTGGATACGTCTGTGGACATGGCTATTGGGTGCCGCGGATGTTGGATCTATGTCTGAGCGCATCTGCTTGCTATGGCCATCTTTCCCTGTACCTCTGCCGGTATGTTGGGCATATTGTCCCCACCGAAGGTCGTGCCATCTCGTGTAGCGCATCAGTGCTGAGAAGACTTCGCGCAATGAAGAGTCGACGAAATGCGTCGAAGAGGCACACTGAGATCTTGAGTTTGAAGTCGTCAACCCACCACATACTGGCCATCTCTTATAACGACCCATTGGGCAGCCACTGATGATGAAAAGCCGCGAAATCTGATGAGGACGTAGAGATGAACGGACATGAGAGGGGACGATAATAAAATGGAAGGACGACAAAAAGACCGGGGAAGAGGGAACGAAGGAGGGATAAATTCCAACTGGTGCTTTGCTCGGACCATATGACTGAGACCAGCCCCTAGGCTTTCGCCCATCCAACCGTGCGTGTCAGCGTCATAATCGCCTCTCAGGACTCAATGCACTTCACATGAACAACGGCCTCTAAAAATCAGCGACCAACAGACAAGAAACCGCTCGCAACTGATATCGGAGACGGCCGCAGTCGCATAGCACAACTGGCTTCTCTCCATCTTGTCCCTTTAGGTATATAACGAGAGCTGGCTTCCAACAAAAATAGGTAAGCAAGCCCCAGGTTCAACCGGCAGCTGACTTCCCGTTTCAGTGTGTTCAGTTACCCGGACCGAAACCCGGGCATTTCTTCCCGGGTTTCACAGAAGGGGAAAGAAAGAAGGGAGCAAGTAACCGTCTTTGTCGGGTTTCTCTTGATACATCAAGTGCACGTCACTCCTCCACCGCCCAGCCCGTTGTGGCGGCGGCAGGATGTGGAGGACAAAACCTGGGTCGACATATCCCCAGACGCCTTTCCCCTCTAAACTGGTCCCAGCTCTATGCGGCTGCATGGCTAGAAAACAGGATTGGCTCAACTCCATTACAGGAAGTAGTCCGGGGTCCCTACAAGGTCCAGTTAATAATGTTTGAATCGTGACCAAAAGTAGAGGAGGGACTTACTCCTTGAAACCATGGGCTCACCGGCTCTTGGGCACGGGTCAAACTGCAAGCTGCGGAGCTGGTTAGCGCCGTCGATCAGACCACGCAACTGGTAAGCACATACAAGGTGTATTTCAAATGTTCGTCGATCTCCATTATCGCCGCCTGATTACCGCATCTGTAGCAATAGTTGGGAGCTACTGTGGTGTCAGCAAAAGAAGGTAGCAGTTGAGCGTCGTTTGCAACCCACCGGAGAAGATCGTGACCACATTACGGTCCTGCGACCAGTTGTATCCCTCCATCACGAGCTGATGTGCCCGAGCAATCAGCGTCAGGCCGTTGTTGTGGTTGAATGCCTCTGATATGTCCTGGCCGAACGTGTACCCCGCACCGCGGGGCGAGATGCCCCAGCCGCACCGGTCGTCGGGGTCAGACCACAAGAGGTCGCACATGGGACCTTCATGCGGCACCTCCTGGATCCGGTCCAAGGCTCGGATGTTGTCGAGCGTGTCGATGCTCGGCGAGAGACCGCCGTGCAGGCAGAATATCTGGTTGTCGATGAGGGCGGTGAGGGGGAGATAGTCAAATAGGTCGGTGAAGTACTTCCACACATTGGCATTGCCGTACTTGCGCAGGCACTCGTCGTAGAAGCCGTAGACCTGTGTGATCTGGCGGGACTCGTGGTTGCCGCGCAGGATAGTGATGCGCTGCGGGTATCGGATTTTAAGCGCCACAAGCAGGGTGACCGTCTCGACCGAGTAGTACCCCCGATCGACGTAATCCCCTGTGCAATACCCAAGCGTCAGAACATCAAGCTCGCGTCGACACTATCGGTTGGGAACAATCTGCCGGCCGCGCCATACCCATGAAGAGATAGTTGGTGTCCGGGTTGGGCCCGCCAATCTTGAATAACTCCATCAAATCGTGGAACTGGCCGTGAATGTCGCCGCAGACGGTCACGGGGCATTTCTGGAAGAATTAGTCTCTGACCAGGAGACGTCTCGATGGTGTCGCGAATAGCAGGGCAGACATACGACGGGTTGTACGTTGGACTCTTCTTGCAGGACCTCGCGTGCCTGGCGATGGGGACAATTAGCACGCATGGCAGAATACAACGCGCATAAAGACTTAAGCTTTCTCGCCCGATGGCATCGGAAAGTAGGTAGGTGTCCAGGCAAGGGAGCAGGGAGACATGTCGGCAGTGATACCAGGCGGGCGGGGAGGGGTAGAGGCGGCTCGAGAACCCAACGACGAACCTTATCGCACAGTCTCTGGACATCTGACTCGGCGAGCTGCTTGCACTGCATCAAGCTCTCGATCCAGCCATCGAGAGTCGGGATCGTGGCGGGCTCAAGGTTGGACGAGGTCAGCTCTGTGGGCACGCGCCCGACGTCCTCCATGTTTGTATCCATTCTGGCAATTGGTGGTATCGCTGGTTCGGCGCAGGGTAGGTGGGGTCGTGATACGCGATGGTATGGTTGAGCTCGGATTGCAATCGGCGCGTCTGACGGCGATGTGGTTGCGAGGAATAGAAGCAATGACGTTTGTGTCCACTGGCACGTTCGTGGTTGCACACCGGCGCAGCGCGGGTCCAGTTGTCTAGGGGGTCAAAATTGGGCAGGTGGGCAAGTGGGCAGCGGCTGAGCAGGGGCAGCCGTGCAGCAGAGTTGGTACTTTTGGACGTTTGAGCCTGTTGGATAGTTAAAGGCAGACGTCACAGTTGAGGTGGCTTTTAAAAGAAACACCAAACTTGACTCGACAAGATTTCGACTGGCGCTGCTGTCACTAAAAGCCGATATGAAGGTAAGGCAACAATCTGGAATGGTCGAATGTGATGAGAGGGGTCGCAGAAGGTCCGTTGTTTTGCGAGAACGGGGGCTACTTCCGTGTGAGAGGATGGCCGGTTGATGCCGCCAAGAGTGCCCCACTGTCTACCAAATACGGTGTGGTAAGCGAGACTTGGCGAGAGCTCCTCCGAAGGATCATCATGGATCGAGCTCAGGGGAATTCATCCCAGTTTTCCTACATCACAACCTGAAGGGTATTGAATGCATGTAAAACCCGGAAGGTAAGCTTATGTCTACTCCGTATACTATAGTAGTCACTCGATGTCAATAACAACCTTCGAAAAATGCCGTTGCTGCTCTAGATACTCATAAGCCTCCTTAAGCTCCTCAAATGAGAAAATCCGGTCATCGAACGATGGTTTGATCCCCTTCTCATCAATGATCGCATTCATCTCCCTGAATTGCTCTCGCGTACCTAACAAGAACCCCCTCGTCGTGCAGAGATACGTCAGTCCGTCCATGATAGATGGTACCTGCGCATCCTCCGGTGCACCGAGCAATCCCGTCAGCGCAACAAGGCCATCTGTTGTCACTGCTTTCAGTGACTGGGATACGGTCGACGGCCCGCCGACGTCGACGACGATATCGACTCCCCGGTTATTCGGGGTGAGGGACTTCGCAACCTCGCCCCAGTTTGGGGTTGTCCTGTAGTTTATGATGTGGTGCGCCCCCAGTGTGGAGAGCTTCTCGGCCTTGGGATTTGAGCTCGTGGTGGCGATCACGGTTGCGCCGGCTGCAAGAGCAAACTATCCCACCCGTCAGTATGCCCACCCCAGCCACGTTCCATTCGAAGCCCATGCAAACGAGCAACAGGACATACCTGCAAAGCAGCAACACTCACGCCCCCGCTCCCCTGCACAAGGACATACTTCCCCTCCAGCGCCTTCCCAGCGTCCCTTACCCTCGCCCTAGCAAGCCCAGGCCCGAACAGCGCATTCCAGGCCGTCAGCCCCGAGCATGTCAGCGTCGCCGCCTCCCGAAACGATAGCGTATTTGGCATCTTCACCAGGGAGCTCTCATGGAAAACAGCATATTTCCGCAGTGCCCCATGAGCGCCGTGTCCCAGACCCGCAGCAATATCCGCAAAGGTAGCCGGGGCGTTGTCGTCTTGATGGACAGTCAGATGCGTGACAACCTTATCGCCAGGCTTGAGACCCTTCACAGACGAGCCAACCTGCAAGACTTCGCCTGCGCCGTCGGATGAGGGAACTATGGGGGTTGCTAGGGAGAGGCCGAACTTCCCCTGTTGACACAACTCGTTAGGCATCTCCCTGAGTCCCGGAAGGACAAATCATTAGTTGATGGAAAAGAGACGTACCCTCGCAATGGCCAGCTCCCGGTAATTCAGCGACGCGGCGAGGAGGCGCACGAGGACATCACCTGGTTCGAGCAGCGGGAGCCGAAATTCGGAGACGTATTCGAGTGACGAGGGGCCACTCTGCCCTGTCAAGACCCAGGCAGGGGTCGCGGATATCGTGGAGGACATGGACATGGGTATTCCGCTGCTGGTATTACGTGAAGGGGACTCTCGATGCGAAACTTAGAAGTTCTTCGCTCTCCAGGATGGCCTTGAGCGTGTATTCGCGGCTGTAAGGCTTCTTGGGAGATGTGGGGTGTCGGCTATTCGGAAAGGACGAAAGAGAAACAACCGGCAGTGAGAAGTGCAAACCGAGACAAGACGGATGGGAGCAACAAGGCGGGAGGGCAATAAATGGGTGAGATACAGCTCAGATCATTTATAAGCCGTGGGCGTCGACGTTCGACACTGACCGTTCTGGGTGGAGCTGGATTGAAGAACACGAGTCATAGAGGCGCCACTTGTTCCAAGTTTCTGGAATACCTGAAAAGGGAGGCACGAAGAGGTGATCGTTGGGTTGCTGAACATTCAGAAGACCGGCCAAGACTTGAAGAGACAATCTCAGATTCAGGAATACGTCCCACGGCACTGTCGAGCAGGTGCCTTGTAGTCGAACTGCCTGTTTGAGCATTACGCATGGGCATAAGACTAAAATGTTTGCTTTCATGTCCAGCAATTGGCAGCAAACATCAGAATCAATCGGATGCCAGAGAGGTAATCAGCTGAATATCCGGTGTCCCCGCAAGTTAAACGTCCGGACTCGAGGGACTTGCCAGCCTAAACAAACTCAATTTGCTATCTTCTATCAACGATAGGAGAATCGGTCCCATTCAATGTTGAGGGCGCCAACAGTTGACACCCGACTGGTCCTCTATACCCTGATGCAGCCCCCGGTATTGCGAACGGCCGGGGTGAGAGGTGAGGCGTCTTCAGGACGCCTCTTGGTGTTGGCGGTTTGAGGCTGTCGGTCTGGAACAGCGAAAACAGAGACCAGCAAAATATTCTGTTACTGATAAGATAGAAACATGTTTGCGATCCGCCTTATAGGGTTTGAAACTACCTTCTTCTGCTAGATCACGTCGAACCCCTCGTCCAAGCACGCCTAAAACCCAGAAAATGCCCCTGTTCAAGCAGCCGGTGCTCCGACAATCCCCAACCCCGATGGCGCAGTCGGCGACACCTCCGCCGCCTTCTGACCAACCAAATTGCGGAAATCCAGACCAACCTCCGAAAGCATACTGGCATGCTCCCTAGCCGTGTCCATGCACCGCGTCCAAGCCTCGCTCCCTTCCCGCTCGCCGCTCAGCTGCCGGGCGAGAATGGCGTTGAAGGCATCCACCTCCTCCTTGGCCCACTTGACACAGGCGCTCATCATGGGCGGCGGGAAGCAGGCCTGGAAGCAGCTGACCGTGTTGCGGATGATGGTGAAGTAGACGAAAGAGATCTCCCAGATGTATTGGTCCAGGTTGCCCTGGAAAATGCATTGCCTGCGCTTTTTGTTAGCCCCGTAAACTTCAGAAGTAACGGCCGGTGTTGGTAATACGTGCCTCGACCGCTTCTGGATCGTCTGACTGCGCGCCTCCAGATACGCCTCGCGCGCCCGGTCCTCAAACCCTAGTCGAGTCAACCAGGACACGTTCTGATTCGTCTTCCGTTGCTGATTGTGTGTGCTGACGAGTTCCCGGACGACCAGTGCCGCCAGCTTTGCCCGCCTCTCATCAACCTTGAACGAGATGAAATCCTGGGCGATGACATTATTCCTCAAGCCATACGCCAGGCTCTTGAGTTTCTCAATCAGGACAACGGCCGGCTCGATCTGCTGGAGGGCGATGTGTATGTCCAGCTCGTCCATCTGGCTCTCGACCCAGCGGAGGTTCTGCTGTTTGCCGTCCACCTCAATCAACATGTCCTTGATGTCAGACAATGTCTCAAGGAGCTCGGTTTTCTGCAGCAGGCCGGGGTCCCGTGAGGCAAAGTAGTTGATAGTTTCCTTGGCCTTGTTGGTGGCCTCTCGTTCCGACTGCAGATTCCTCCGCAGCTCCTCAACTCGCTTGCGGATGTTGAGAATGAGGGCCGCCTTTTCTGGGTCCTCGGGCTTCTCGGTCCGGTAGATGAACGACTCGTTCTGGCCGCCACCCCTGACCATGATGGCATCGGCGAGCTTGTTCCTCCCGCTTGATGACTCGCTGGAGCCAGCCATGTCCACCACCTCGACGTCCAGGAGATGCCAGCAGCGGTCGGCCACAAGCTTCGTCATGGGGGCGCGGCTATCGGCGGCGGCCTGTCCATCCGTCTTCCGCTTCTTCCGCGAGGCGATCAGGAGGTGGTCGTTCAACAAGAAGATCTGCATCGCTCTTCTTGAACGGTAGGTGGCGTTGTCGAGCTCAACCCACGGTCCAGCATTCTGCACGACATGGCGTCCCGGGGTGTTTGGGAGGAACTTTTGCGAACCCTCGACATTCTTGTACAGGGCTTGCATCTGGGAACTCCAGAGCGCGGTCCTATCGGCCACGGAGCTTCGCTTGTCCCTCCTGCTCAGCCCCGTGCCTATTTGGCCATTGAATCCCGTGTCTTCCGCGCTGTTGGTAGCCGATCGTAGCGCGGTCGTGTTGGCCTTGAGCTCTGCCATGAGGTTCCTGAGCGTGCGCATCTCACTCTTGAGCTTCTCGGCCTCCTTGCTGATCTTGATGAACTGAGTGCGGTTTTGGTAGACACTCTGCTGGAGGTCGGTCGAAGCTCGGCTCTTGAGCTTCCGTAGAGCGGTCTCGTAGTCGCGGATTTCATCCTCGGTCGCCTCGCTGAGAATCTCGGCAACATATTGCTCAGGGACTAAATTGGGATCTCGAAGCGCTCCCACATCCACTTGGAGCCCCGGGCGTCCTCCGCCCGCACTTTCACTTCGTCCTGATCTTGACGCGGGCGGCCGGCGATCCTGAGCCTGGTCTTGCGAGTACTGATCTAGGCTCGGAAGCGAGGGCATCGGGTTTGTTGTTGGGTCGAAATCGGCCGGGACGTTGTTGAAGCGCGTGGAATATCGCCGCTTGACAAGATCTGAGGTCTGACCATGATAGTCGTCAGCCACACGTCAGTGGCACTAGATGGACGAACAAGCACTCACCTTGGCACTACGTTGCGGCGGGGGACGAGGGCGCGGGCGAGGAACATCCTCTGCGACTGGCCGCCCAGACGGTTCCCGAGTTCCGACATCCTGCTGCAAAATAGGCCCAGAGATCTTGAGGGCTGGTCGGCCCTTCCGTTTCCCCCCGCTCCGCAACGAGATCTTGGACCGTTCCTCGGACATGGTGAGCAAGTATATTGCGCAGCATGCAGTCTGGCAGCCGTTGAAGAGAGGTGAGATCCCTGGTAAAAGAAAAACAAATGAGGGACGAGTCAACTCCTAATCGCAGATGAACCACAGGGGTGTTAAATGTCCAGGGTCTGTCGCACTGAGCTGGCGATATGTGGTTGGCAATGTGCGACGACTTCCATCTGGTTTCGACTTTCAAGGATCAGGTCATGTACTGTAAATCGGTGGGGAAAAAAACTCCAGCTCCACCTCAGTTGGAACCGTATCTGACCGTCAGGTATTTCTGCAGAGTACCGATGTGTAACCGTTCGACTGAAGGCCCGTAAGGGTTAGGGTCCTCCGCAACCCAAGGCACCCAACCTTTCCACGCATCCAGCCATCCACGACCTTGCAACTAACTGTCTGCCACCGCCACCAATCATCACTTGACCCCCAATGTCGTTCAGCTGCACGAGAACCGAGCCTTGCCGACAGCGACGGTGTCAAGTCCATCATTGACAATGGAATACGCTCAAGCTGCAAGCGACGTCGCATGCGGCTAGTCCATTCCAGGGACTGGAAGGCCTTTTACGAGGTATACACAGTACAATATCTGTCAGGTTGCCCCGGCACCCATGATGCCGAGATCCGGCAATCCAGCGCAAACATCGGGCCTTCAATGTCCTGCTGTGATATCGCAGCTCCCAGCCCAAACCCATCATCGTGCGGTTAATACCTACCGCCAGGAAGTCAGCTCACTTTATACGTTATTTGAAGGCCGCTTGACAGCAAAATGAGCAGCTCCTTGAGCGAGTTCTCAAACAATTTGGCCTCGGGCCTGGGCCCCTTGCTCGCCCTGTTTTGCGGAGAAAATGACCATTTAGTGCCTCAGCGAGTGCACCACCACCGAGGACTACATCATCGTCGCAACAGCGCCCATCGGCATCATCACGGCCCTGGTCTCCGCCATCAGAATATGCGGAGGCGCCTACCTGCGCGCCTTCGTTGGCCGAGCCCAAGAGGGAGCCGCCGCCACCGAGGCGGAGCAGTGCACCTCCAAGGGCCGTGATGTCTGCGAGCTGTTTACCAGGGGCGGCATCACCCGCTCGCTGGGGAAGCCGTCAATTCTCGAGCTTGTGCATCTGCAGCCTGCTCCAGTATCTTCTTCAGCCTCGGCAGTTGACCACTTGCGCCGGGCTGATCATCCGGTGTTCTCACCGGTGCACTCTGCCCGGCTTAAAGAACTTGCATATTTACCGCAAGTATCTGAAGAGACACGGTGACGGCAGATGGTCCAAGAGGACCGGAGATACCAGAATCAGGCAGCGCAAAGGCCTGGGAAACTGGCTGAACAGGGTCCAGTCCCACCTGAAGGACCCCGAGGGAGACGCTCTGCTAAAGGCCGAGGAGAATGGGCCGACACGGGGAGATTGACATCAAAGCTGAAAACGGGCAAACAGCACTCTCATTATGTGCACGGAGAGGGGACACGGCAGGTGTCAAGTAACTCTTGAGCCTCGGAAAAGGGCTTGTAGACCCTTATACGCAGGACGCTACTCGGACAACACCGCTGTCTTGGGCTTTGAAAGAATATCCTAGGGATGACCCTCGATTCTTTCCCGTGCCGGGTTGGTGGGACGGAGCAAAAAGATATGATGAGGTACCGGAGGCACTTCGCGATGCGGAGTTCTTTAGCGAAGAACTTCGGGCTGCTGACAGCGCAGGGAGAACGCCTTTCAGCCTGGCGGCAATCACTGGCTCAGTAAACTTGACGAGGAGGGTCCGGGAGATCTTCAGATTCTGCGACCTTGACCATCAGGTTGACTCCGACAATCGGACGCCGCTCTCGCTTGCGGCGGATCTGGGACACGCCGAAGTGGTTAAGCTTCTGCTCTCTATGGACGGCTGCAGGCCCAATATGCCAGATCTAACCCAATATGCCGGGTCTGCGAGGGCAAACGGCACTCCACCTGGCCGCCTCTTGTTTTTGCTGGCAAGGCAGCGGTCAAAGCGCTTTTGGGAAACCCCAAAGCAACCCAAACTCACGAAACTTGGAGGGCCGGACACCGCTGCTGCTCGCTGTTCAACAAGCACGCAGGGAGTCTGTGAAGGCACTTCTGAAGCGAAAGGACGTCAAAGGGACAATCGCAGACGGTTTTGGACGCACTCCCCTCTCGCACGCAGCCGAGGGCCGTTCCAGGAAGACGATTGCATTGTTGATCGAACGCTGCTCGCGCGGAGGACCTGAACGCCGAAGACCATAAAGGCTGGACGCCGCTCTGCTGGGCGATCCAGAGCGGCCGCTGCCCGTTGATTGATCTCTTGGTCAGAGACGAGCGTGTTCGGTTTCCGCATCCGGCGACCGAGGACTGGGACAGACAGAGATTGTTCGACATTGCTTCAGAGAAAACACGCGAGTTCATGAGGAACCTCGGAATCTGAAGGATGTGGGGGTACGACGAAGGAAACCAGCACTGGGACAAGGTCGAAACCCCCGAAATTGCACCGCACGAGGCCGTTTCCGAGTACTTTTTTGAGATTGACATTGACGGCGACGAGTATGATCCCCTACTATGAGGAGTCCGACGCGTGCACGGAGCGGGATGGGCAGTCTGAGGGGTCGATTGGTACAGGAACCGAGGAACAGAACTCGGAAACGGGCGAAATGGACGGTCCGAGGTGGGAGGCGGTCACGCACTTTGATGATGTAGAGGTGGTGGAGAAATTTGCAATATGGGGAACCCGCGCTGAAGGGACCCAGAAGAGGAGAGCGGCGAAACAGTAGAGGCCAGAGCTTATCATCCAACCAGGTCAGAACGGTGGCGAGATTGGCGTTGGGAAGCCATAGGACGCGCCGTCTTGAACTCTCTCATACCGCCGGGGGGATCCACAGCCGCTGCTGTGCGGGACAACGCCGAGCAATGGTATAAGCTGTCCATGCCGCCTGAACACGCCTAGTCCAACGCAGAAACTCGGATGAGAGAAGACCTGTGGTATAAAAAACACCGTATTGAGGCCATCAGACAGAGTCCCGTATCTGAGAACATGACCTCACCCTTCAATAACATCATCCGGTCGATACTCTATGTTGACTCTCTCTTCCCTTCGCCAGAAGCTGAGCTATATCTTCAGTGAAGAACTTTATGACCTACAGAACAACTACTTAGAACTACGGCAAGTTGTAAGCTTTAACACGGAGTGGTAAGGTACTCTAAGACAGCCGTGATTTGGTGTGATGGGAAACTTGTAAGTTAGGTAAAACTTAAGATCTTACGGAAACACTGGCCCGAAAATGCTGCGCCGTGGGGGCGTGGGGTTCAGGCAACAATGGGTGGAGTGGGCACAAGAGCCCAATGACCTGGACTCCACCAACGTTGACATCGCAAGACAACCAACAATACAAAGGCCTACGCAATTCATCGGATCTGAAGGCGCAAGCATGGCCGTCGGGGTCATCAACAGTCGGCATGCTGCCGACGAAGAGGCCCGGGCCGAGGTCGACGTCCTCAACTCGCGGCTCGAGAAGACGACGCAGTTGACGAAAAAGATCCAGGCATGTCTCGGCAGGCTCGAGGCCACGGGCAAGAGTGTGCGCGACGTCGCAGGACCCCTCAATGGCGAGACAAAGAAGCTGCAGATACTCGGCAACAGTAGGTGGCCTGCTGTATCGGCTTTGTCAGTCACTGAGACGCCCGAAGTTGACCAATTCATCGACCAGACATCGACTCTGTCCTCGCAGCTATTGAACGACTCCGCCAACCGGCCGACAGCAAGAACGATGAGGAGCAGATCATACGGATGGGCCCGGACAAAGCTGGCCTGCCAAACTACCTGGCTTCGATCAAGCGCCTGAACAAGGCTCTCAGCGACATGAAGGCGTCCAACCTCCGCTCAACACAACAGACGGTTGCCGAGCTCCAACGACTAGTAAAGCTCGGCAACACGCAGCTCGAGAACTCGTTCGACAAGCTATTGCGTAACGAAACACCACGAGCGCTGGAACCACTGCATTTTATCACGAAAAGCAAGCCATTTCCCGTTCTCTCGCAAGACAAGTTTGCCAGGCTGGGCCTGATGAACTCGTTTGTTGCCGGGGTGCATCAGCAGAGCGGCGGATCAGGAGCACCCCAGGAGTCGCCAATTGCAAAGATCTACATCGAAATACGGTCACAATACCTCTCGTCCGCCTTAGTAAACCTGGCGACTGCCAGCACCAGCACAGCGAAGAAGAAGAACGCCGACGCCGTCTACCGGTCCGGAACGAACGGGATAGGGACGTATGCCCAGGCGATGGAAGGCCTGTTTATCGCCGAGTACGAAAATATCTGCAACATCTTCACAAGAGAAGACTGGGGTCCGGTCTTCGAGGCGACATGCCAGCCGTCGCTGGTGGAACTGGGAAGGACCCTGCGGGAGTTGAACGGGCATATCAAGGCGCACATGAACACCGACTGTTACTTGGCCTACGAGATTGTCGAGATTATTTCGGAGCTCTCCAACAACTTGGAACGAAGGACAGGCGAGCTCAAGAATCCCCTCGCGGCGTCACTAAAGCCGGTTCGCGAGACTGCCAAGTCTTCGCTGCCGGAGCTCCTCGAGGAAACCAAGAGGCGTGTCAACAGCCTACAAACGCTCCCAATGGACGGCGCACCGGTACCCATCGTGTCTGAGACGATGCAACGGCTCCAGACGATGGTCGAGTTCCTGCGGCCAATTTCGAGCATCATGATCTCACTCGGCGACGGTGGCTGGAAATCTACCGCCGCATCACGGAACGGCACAAGCGACGCCATCCCCAGCCTCGCCTCCTTCGACATCGGCGCCGATGGCAGAGAAATCTTTGCCCACTACTGCACCGATACCATCGAGGCCCTCCTGCTGGCCCTCGACGCCCGCGCGCGCCTCCTCCTCCACAAGAAACCCATCATGGGCGTCTTCCTCGCCAACAGCGTGGCCATCATCGAGCGCATGATCCAAACCTCCGACCTCGCCGGTCTGCTCGAAGGCCGCGGCCTCAGCGTGCTCGAAACGTGGCGCAAGAAGGCCACCAGCCTCTACACAGAAACCGCCAAGGACGTGAGCGTGCATCTGTTCGACGTGATCCACACCAGCCGGGGCGTCGGCGGCGGCGGGGGGCGCCCGACCTCTGGGCAAGGCGGCGCCATGGTGGTCGACTCGGCGTCCATCCTCAAGGGCCTGTCGTCCAAGGACAAGGAGAACATCAAGGGCAAGTTTGCCGCCTTCAACGCCAGCTTTGACGACATGGTGCTCCGCCACAAGGGATACAGCATGGAGAGGGAGGTGCGTCAGATGTTTGCCAAGGACATGCAGAACATGATCGAGCCGCTGTATAACCGCTTCTGGGACCGGTACCATGAGGTGGACAAGGGGAAGGGGAAGTATGTCAAGTACGACAAGGCGGCCATTGCGCAGATCTTTTTGACGCTGTATTAGCCGGGGTATCTTTCGTGAGGTTTGGGGGTGGTCAGGGTTGAGGGTGATGGCTGGGAAAAGAGGCAGTGTTGCCTGTCGAGCTCATGATTTGCTATATTTCTGTGATGGCTACCAGTTGTTTGCCTGTCATCTTTCTTTCTCGTTGTCTTGGCTACTGGCTGGTCCTCGATACCAACTTGGGACAGAGGATGATGGCGCCCGGCGTTCTTGCACGGATTGGATGGTGGGGCGATGTGTACAAGTACGTGAACAGGAGCAGCTCAGTCTAAATGAGAGTGACATGACACTTAACAAGCATCGGAACGTGGACCTTGTTCGAGCTCGGCCTGTCGATTTCAACGGCAATGTCTCACTACTACCCAGTTACACCCTCATTTCCTTGCCCTCCATCCCTTTATCTCCGTAGCTACTGCTTGTGTTCGATGAATGTCAAACATGTGGTAATCAACTCTCAGTTCCTGATTATACGGCCAGTTCCTCAAGCTGTACTTGCACATGGATTGAAATAGCACTGGATTTGACACAGAGTTGACTTCAATTCATCTTTCAATAATCACTACTAGACTGAGTGGTTTAATGTCTTGGAACTCCGTATACAAAGCCGAACAGAAGTAGGTATCTAAGGTAGGACAGCCACTAGGGCTCAGGAACTTTCAATGGTATCAACCTCTGCAGTCATTTCCCCCACCCCCATCTACATGATGGCGCAGCCTTTGGGTGTTGTTGATGGTGACGGCTAACGCTGGCCGCATGACGAGGCTTTGAACCAGCGGGAATTGACGGGTAAGACCTATACAGGTCGTCATCCCAACAATGCTTCCCTGTATAGGGATCAGCCACAGAGCTAGCCCCTTCCTTTGGCCATGGCCACCAGCCCTGCAGGGCCGCGTCGTCATAAACGGAGGTGAAGAACTGTCCAGGCATGCTTCGCGTATACCAATCAATAGACGCACCGATCACGCGCGTTCCTGGTATACGCGATTGAGACATGTTCCCTCGATAGGGCCTGTAGCCAGAAACTGGTGACGGCATCAAAAGACCTCGTAGCGACCTCGAGATAGCCGATTCAGCGTGGATTTTCGCCATGAGACTTGTCGACAAGGACCCAGACGCGTGCCCAACGGAAACCCAAGGCTAACCACCGCGAATTCACCGTGAGGTCGAGGAAACCTTCCACCAGCACAAAGTTGTCAGCCAACCAGAAGAAGCCCTCGCGCATCAGACAGGCCACATAGTCGCACCTGACAAAGAGTGATGCAGCCCACGACGCTGTCCGGTACTCCGGGGTGGAGGGGTCGGGTGCCATCAAGATATCCAGGGTTCCCCAACACGAGTCGACCTTTCCGTACTTGGCCATGATGTTGCCGTGTCCAACTTTCGGCGCCGGGAGCTCGGCTTGCTACTTATGGTTGTGGATCTCATCGCTCCTTTTGGCATTGTTCACAGATTTCGAATAGGCGGGTGGGCTTGTCATGCTTTCCCAAACAAGAGGCGGGTCGGCCGTCGCTGTGGTCACCGGTTTGTCTTGCTCACCACCAATGCTGTTTTAACTGCTGGGTTGGATCGGATTGTGTTCGATGAATTGTTATTATCGTGAAGTAGATGCGTCGTGAGGGAAGTTGGCAAGTGAAAATGGAAATGGAAACTGAAAGTGTGATGTTCAAAGAGGGCGGTCTTTACGTCCGTGACATGTTGGTGACGTGCAGCTGAGGTCAGAAACAAACACAAAATCCGACAAACACTCGCACTGTCACGGTGCATATACAGCTTGAATTGAACCTTAGAAAACGCACAAGCGAAGATAAGGTACCTATTGGTCCACCTAGTCATACTCGGCTGCTCCCGCGCCAGGCAAGCGAGTCGAAGCAGAGCGGCGCAAGATATAAGAGCAGTCATTTTACACCGGATCAACACTGCCTTGGCAGATCTGCCGGTCTTTTCCTATCAGATGCGCTAAAAAAAAATCAATTCATGTTTCCTCTCAGTCGTCCTAGGGACGTTGCTTTTGCGGAATTGAAATCTTATATCCTTGATCGAGCACATGATGAAGCTGGAACTGTCTACCGCAATCTGGGAGATGGTGGCGGAACCTGGAACGATTCGAGTTTGAGAATTGATTATGAAAGCCGAAACCGAATTTGCGGATCAAAATCGAGTTTGAGAATCGAAATACCCAGAGATTAAGAATCGAGGCTCTTAAGAATCGACTCTAGAAAAGAGAGGAAGAAGAAAAGAAGGTTAAGTTAACTAACGTTAAAGTAATAAAGTAAAAGGGAAGAATGAATGGTTACGAGAGGAAGAGGAAGCAGAAGGAGGGAAGTAGGAGGATAAGTTAACTAAGAGGAAGATAACGAGAGACTTAGAGAGGAAAGAGAGAGGAAAAATAATACTAGAGTGACTTTCTTCTCTGAGTAATACGTAGAAGAGTAGTTGTCTAGATGAATAACCTCCCTCCCCTTCTCTCTTCCACTTTTCCTTCCTTTTTCTTTTCCTTTCCAACTCCTTTCCCTTCTAGAGCATTGAAGTCTGACCCTCCAGGCCTAGGCTACGTAGGACGTCTTCGATAAGCAATTAACATTGAACTACACCTACCCTATGTGCCTGTATGTTACAGGATAGCTGTGGACAAATAGGGACTTGAGCTAGGTTCCTTTGCCCACTCCGAGTTACACTTAGGGGTGACCGGCTCCCCAGTGTGACGCTCGCCGGACAAGTAATCCATTAACTATACTACTGCTGTCAACAAAGAAAGCCAAGGGGATTGCGTGATGACTGGGGCCGGCCAGAACAGAGCTTTTTCGGCCAGTCCTTGTTTCAACAACTAAGCATCTCGACTTGGACTGTCGGTCAACATGTTTTGACACTGCATCTGTGGGGTTAGGAGGCCGCGAAAACCGCCTGTTATTGGCTTGCCCTTCGTTATCGTCTCCCAGATTCCGATCCGTTTCCAGGCTAGGATGCGTGACGACATGCGGATATGGAGGCGTCTGTTTGAGGACAATCGTCCGTGAATCGAATACCCAATCCAACCCGACTAATACCTGAGCTTGAGAACATACATGCCCATGTACCGGCTTCCTTTAACGTCGATACTACCACGTTTTGAGCAGGGTATCCAAGCCTCGCTTGGGACGCCGACAGCTGCGCACCCAAAGGGACAAGGCAACAAAAGAGCATTCTGCATGCTGCAGGGCATCGACAAGGGTCTGCCGCGTGCTGGGGTTATACTGCACTACTCCCGTACTGCTGTAGGTGACGGCCTCTTGTGGCTTGCTTGGCTTTCATGTTTGGTGACAGGTCTGCCGGGCCGAAGAGTGTGACAAATCGAGGGCGGTGTACGGAGTATCTTGCAGGTTGACATCGATTGCATCCTGTCTTCCACTTCGCAAATACAAGGATCCTCTACGTGCCTGGATGCCAGTGAAATTCCAACTTCCTATCCTGGAGTCCTGATCGATGGAAATGGTATCTGTAAATTCAGAATCGGCTGCCTACCCGCCACGCTGCCTTGCACTCATGCCTGATTGAACGCCTTCACGGTGAAGATCCCTCAACAAACCAGACAGAAGCCCCGTAAACGTAGTGGGAGTGATCAGACGGATCCCAAAGCGCCGAAACAACCACAACGCCACCACAAAGAACGCCTCCAGTCTTCGCACCATGATGCTCTTCCAAACTTCACCGCATCCTTTCCAATACATAAAGATTGGCTGAATAAAATAGACTGAAATAAGGAGAGGGCGGCATGCGGAACGACAGCGGCGTGATGGACTCTGGGCGTGGTGGTTGGAGCTTGACCACGCGACCATTGCTCCTGCTGAGGATGCCGGTGCGGTCAAGTTTGCCCAGACGGGTACAGCACACCCGAGTCACTATCCTGGTCTCCGGCGCAACCTCATCCATCCCTGACTCGTTTCTAGCCGTCAAGGTACGCGCCGCACCTATGCGTTACCTCCCTTGTGGGACGAGAAAACCAGGCAGCAATGCCGGGCAGCTCCTCCGCCTTTGCATGTGGAGGTGAAGAGATCGCATGACTTCCAGCATATGGGGGAGAAGAACACATCCCTTCCCGAACTGTTCTATCCGTGAGGGTAACAGGCTCTCAACAGGCATCTCGCCAAACGATGTGGGTTTATGTAGGGATCTTGTGTTGCTGTGTGCCGATAGTGGTGGCTCTTTCTGCCAATGAGGAAACGAACTAGACCCGGCGTCCAGCCCATGTCCGTCATTCGGAAGGGGCTGGAGGCCGGGAAGCCGGGAAGCCGGGAGCGGAGTGCGGGCGATGAGAAGGTGTCGAATGTCGATCGGCTATCTCCAGCGACCCTCCTTGTCAACCGGTGAGGATGTCAGCTGCGCCGCAGCACGGCCTGCATGCTGCGTCCACCATAGCGGCGTCGCATGCAGCCCGCCGAATTGGGTGGCATGAGGCCTTGTGTTGCTGCACAGCCTGAGGATTGCAGGTGCTTCAGTACGGGCAGCTGGCGCAGTGAGCACTGCTGGGACAGTAGTCGTGGGTGCCAAAATCGACGGCTTTGCAGCAAAACGAGCAGCAGTGGTTGACGAGTTCCTGATACTCCGTGACCGCCATGTTGCCTGGTGTGTTGGTGACGTGCGATGAGTTGTACTCTGAAGGCCTTGAGCCTGTCAAGTGAAAGAATGGCTCTGGTCGAGTTTCGAGGGTGGACGTGGGTGATGGATTTGGGTAAAGTAGATGGTTTGTCGAAGAACAAGATGTTGAAGGATGTTCCAATAGACGGGCTCACAGGAGGACGCCGAGATGGATGAGAAGGGCGGGAGCAGCAGCCTTCATATGTATTCCCATGGTGTTGGGGGATGGGGCGGAGCAGGCGGCGGCATTCATCAGGGGAGTTGAAGGTCTTATCCCAGAAAAAGGGAAGCCTGACGACCGCTTCAATGGCGGTGGGGCTCGCGATATTGCGACGACAATACTTACGAGGTACCTAACCGCATGAATGCCTGCTTCATCGTGTCATTGCGACAACAGGTCCGTTGGCAGGTACCTGCCCTGCCATTTCATGCGTTCGTCGGACCAATCGATGAGAGTGGACAAGGCGCGCGAGAAAAAGGAAGTCAGAATTGCCATCAAACACCGCGCCGCCGGTATCCTGCCAAGACCTTTCAGTTTTGTCACGGGTGAGTGAGGTCACTGCTCAACGGCGCTTGGGAAAGTGCCAAGAGACCAAAAACCAATGCACTGGAGAACTGGCTCGAGACTGGGTTCAGGATTGCCAGGAGCAAGGCCAGGGCAACCAACGGGAAATGCGGCGCTGCGGTGTGGCACGATGGGCACAAATCCGGAGCCTGGGGTTGGGTCACGAGGCCTGGCAGCTGGGCTCCTCACAATTTTCCAGGATCCTGTGCCCACGGAAGGTTGTGAACCGAACGACCCTCCTGTCCTGTAATATCGGGGGAATATCACATCACCGCCGGTTAATGAGCATCAGCAAACGCAAACCTGACTTGTTTGTCGTATTTACGGTTCTTTGGGGACATGAGTCCCGTGTCAAACAAAGTCCAGGAACGAGCCGACACCTGCCGCCAGCAACACCGAAGCCGGATCGCATGGAGATTATCCCCTTCTTCAAACCTCAATCCTTGACTTTGTCGAGGTTTCATGAGTTCAAGGAGCTACCGGTAGGTAGTAGGTACGTCGGTGCAGATAAACTTGAGATGATGCTCGAAATCCGATCAATAGCCCCCAAAGCGGAAGAAATCCGAGGAGTATGGTGGTTTAGCTGAGCATAACCAGGGCTCTGCGACCCCGAACGCCTATCCCCGCAGACCGCCTGGCTACGGCCCAAGACGTGAGGCTGATGATGATGACTGCACCACGGAGACGCGTGTTATGACATGTATCAGCTCATCCAGGCCGATGCAGGACGCTGAACTTGGAGAGGCACAGGCATCAATCTGCTCTGACACGCAGAGAGTCCTGCGGCTGTCATTTGCTTACACAGACGTCCTTCGCATCTCACAACACTAAACTCAGGCCCAGGGGAGATACGGGATTGCCCAGTTGCTGGGCCGCGCAGGATTACACAATACAAAGTAGGCTTGTCGGTGTGCTCGGTTCTGTCGGCACCCCGGATTCGTCAATCCTCTATCACCAGCGCCATAAGCCCGTGTTTCATCCACCGCGCACTCGTAATCGCGGGTTGCCGCGTGAAGGACGGAGAGTGAGGGGTAACTAAGCCGGGACAGCGGGAAAGCTCAGGAAGCTCACCGATCGGCTTCCTACAGCGTCTTCGCTGTCGTGCACCCTCAACTGCATCAGCTGTGATAGCCTCAACCGGTGTGCCTGCCTTGCACTGCGGCAGTGTTCAATCTGGCGTGGGATAAGGCCGGCTCTGAAGCCCTGCTTTTCTCTGCCATATCGATCCTTTCCTGAACCGGAGTGCCTACTGGTAGCTATGAGACCAGAAGCAAGCTCAGTCGCAATCTTTCGGTCAAGAAGGTTTACATTCGTGATAGATCGCTCTCCGGAATGCCCAGTTTGGCCTATTCGTGGTTTACGCAGTCCGCATGTGCATGTAGTGTAAGTGATTTCACATGTCTTATTACTGCGTTCCCCATGTTGGCGCGAATAACTTCGGGATTCCAGATGCTTGCAGCATCAGAAAATTTACCTAATGGGGCATGCCCTCTTTGCCCAGAATCCGCATCTGCCGGAGGAGCCAAATCTCTCGGTCAAGCTGGAGCACGCTGAGGGGCCCAGTCAAGTGCGGAGGTTTGTTGTGGATCTGTGGGTCTCCTTGGCCCTGTAGGATATGACCTGCACTGGCAACGCATGGCATCGGGAGATGGAAGGTTTCCAGAAGCAGCCGAAACGGCCCAGTCAGAGAGGTCGTTGCCATACAAGATACGCTCGAGACCACCGCACAAGCAACAGGAGAGACGGGGCCTGCATGCCCAGCCCGACCGTCCGGCTACCCACGAGCACCAAAAAGAAGCCCGGTGGCTGCCTGCAAAGGCGTCAATGGTGCCATGCCAGTATCCGATGCCCAGGTGTCCGTTCCCATAAAATTCACATACTTATGTGCTGCCTATAAGTGACCACCAAAGCCTGCGGCAGGCAGCAAGCCAATGGAAGTTACATTGTCACTCAACAACCAAAGCAGAGTGACACTCGACCTGAGTCTGTAGACGAGACATCAGAGCAGGGATACTGGACTGTGTGGGGTCAGATAACTGTCATTCTTCTCTTTTAGGACTATCTTATGAACGATGAAATCCGAGGAACCCTCGCCCTCGGCCTCACTTGCCAGGTCGCCGTCGTCATTGCCCAATGCCACAGGTACTTCTCTTCCGCCTATGTGGAGTGAAACATCGAAAGAACTGTGCCAACGGCTATTTGTTGGGCAGCCCAAGCGTGTGTTTAACCCCAGCCAATCACTCTGTACGCAGTCCACCTGGTGGGCATTCTGCGCGGTGAGGCTAGGAACGGGCGATTCGAGGGAACAGATGTGGCATGTCTTTGCGCCTGATTCTTGCGACGAAGTCTACCTAGTCTTCTAAAGTGCAGGGACAGGCACAAATGGGCAAGGTCGAGATCTCGCAGTCCGGGCTTGCAATGCCACCAAGGCCAACACAAATACCAGCACCGTCGCACTTCCGTTTTAGGGAATTGTGCATCTAAGTGCCCAGCCAGCACCAACACCATCGACATTCCCAACCCTGCATTTTATGAATTGTGATTCTCAGACGTCCGGGTGCAGATGCGAGGCTTCTGGGTCATGTACTTATGGGTGAGATACGCTCACACATTTGGGTCCCCTGATACATGCTCTTTGAGGATGCGCGTCCGAATCGGTGTAGGAGGTGGTAATCGCGGCAACTTTTCTTCCTTATATTGCAGACTTGAGTGGGCCAACCGACTCAAGAGACTGGTTTGTAACTCAATGACAAACCAAAAGCATCCTATTTCACCTATTAACCACATGGCAATGCCGCAACCTACGTCCCTCGGCACAGGCTAGTCAAGGGACGGGACTCACATGGCTCTTGGGAGGTGGCGCTCAATATTGACGCTGGTGCTCTACATAGAGCGAGAGGTAAGCGTCATGACGCTGGCCAGGGTTCCAGTTTGGCATGTGTGCGCAATGCGAGACAAACTGTAAGAGAAGTGGGAAGAGCGGAAAGAAGAGAGAGCAAGACAAACAAGATAAGAGTTATCACCATGGAAATACAGAAGAATCCAGAAAACATCAGCCCGCAATATATGTTTACTAAACCTAAGGAGGACTATTCCAGGCTTATGAAGTCTGTATCCTAATCGTATAACGTATTGAAGTACTCCGGAGTAGTACGAGGGATTAACAACCCTAACCCCTTCCGAAACCGGAACGCACATCTGGCTTCCGAGCCACCTCGACCACCTACGGATCCGTACATCTCCACTGCTATCTCAATCGGCTTCCCGCAGCGTCTGCTTTCAACATTTTTCTCTGCGATTTGAGCGCCTTTTCGGGAAAACCATTGTCCTCAATTCCCGCCCCTTGCTGCCTCAAAAACGGCCCACTTCCGCTTTGAGGCAATGCCCCTGAGCGTTCAATGCTCCATTCCACCGGCCATGGCGGGAAACCCGAACCCATTGATCTGTGTAGCGACGGGAACTGATGCTCTTTGCCACTAGCACTATGTAAATACCTACCTGGGACAACGTTTCTATAACGAGTTTCAATAAGAGACACGATATTAATGGAATTATGTTCTTGTCCTGTTCCTCTATTCCAAGGTAAAAACAGCAACCAAAAACACCCATTCTCACTTCGCCTCATCCAAGAACCCAATCAATGGGCAGTTTCGTCATGGCCCCTACTGGTCCCTTCAGACTTGTCACGGTCAACACGGCGCCAGAGCGTGCCAAGAGACTGATCGGCCGCGTCGTTGAGGACGTCAAGGAGCAGTACACCATCGTACACGCTGCCAATGCCGCAAGTGAGTTGCAACCGGACCCTCCCGTATGGCACCCGAGCTATCGGGCTAACATGTCCTACTACTCTAGGTATAGATGAGGTGCGCAAGACAGTGGAGGAGGCGCAGCCCAATGTTCTGGTAGGTGGCTTCTGCTCTGAGGGTTTGAGGATGTCGGAATCTGAGACAGGCGCGCGTAGTTTACCGCATCCATGTGGACGCCCGAGGAGGCCAAACAGATCATTGCCATCGCCAAGGAGGTCGTATCCGACCTGAAAACCTTCTCTCTGCCGCAGGGCATGCAGGTGGAAAAGGGGCCCGACGCCGTGGTTGAGTACATCAAGGAGAATCTGCCTGCGTTGCTGGGTTAGGCCGTCATTCAATCCAGGTCGCCGGTGGAATTGCAATCTCACTCGAGATGACGTTGAAGACTTCTATTAGAGTTCATAGCTCGGCGTCACGTCTAGAGAAAGGCATCGTCTGGATATACTCGGCAAATAAGCGATAAATCCCGCTTCCGTCAAGGTTCATTTCTCGTTCTGCATCACATTGTACAGACTGCCAATGTGCGGGAGGATTTCAACAACGAACTCATCCCCATCATGCAGCAACTCCTGCGGTTTGTGCGCAAACCCAACACCGGCCGGCGTGCCCGTGATGATAACAGTGCCCTTGGGCAGCGTCGTGCCCTGCGAGAGGAAGCTGACGATCTTCGGGACCGAGAAGATGAGGTCCCTGCAAGAGTCCAAATCAGTCAGCACACCATCCTTGAATCAAGGCTGCATCAACAATAAACAGCAAGGCCAGAAAAAAACCAAAACTCACGTCAATGGGCTCTCCTGCACCACCTTCCCATTCTTCAGCCCCCTCATCTTGAGCGCTCCGACGTCCGGCACGAGCGTTTTGTTGACCAGGACAGGGCCGATCGGGCACGCGCCGTCGAAGCCTTTTGAGTAGCACCACTGCGACTGCGCAAACTGCGCCGACCGGCTCGAGATGTCGTTGCTGGCCGTGTATCCCAGCACGTAGTCGAGCGCGTCGGCTTCCGAGACGTTTTTGGCCTCCTTGCCGATGATGACCGCCAGTTCGGACTCGTAGTCGGCCGAGTTCGAAGCGATGGTGTGCTTGGGGATGATGGTCGGCGCGGGGTAGGGGTCTGCGAGGGAGGTCGAGGGTTTACTTTGGAGGGAACCGAGTTAGCGGCAGAAAGGGAAGGATCTGAGGTGGTGGGACAGGCGTACAGAAAAACGGTGGGGATATCGGGGAGGGCCATCATCGCTTCCTGGGCGTGCTGCTTGTACTGTTCGACAAGGTTAGCAGTTGCTTCTCCCAGATGAAGTCGGCTCTCGAGGAGTAGCTCACATTCAGCCCGATGCAGCGAATGGTGCCGACCTCCTCCTGTGCCAGAGGCGACAGGATGCGGCCGATCACGGCAGTCTCGCCCGTCGGCGACCCGGCGTTCAGGACCGACTTGCCGCTGTACACCTTGACCTGGACATCCTCGCCCTTGCGAACGGCAGCGCCGACGTCAACGGAACTATCGGAGGGCTCGCCGACGAGGATCTTGCTGTCGTCGCCCTTGGGCACGAATCGGACGAGGCCTGTGGTACGGTCAGTGACCGCACCGTCCCAGATACCCGGGAGCGAATCTCACGATCGAAGGACATTTTCACGATGCTGGTAGTGTCTTCCGTTGATACGAAGAGGGTAAATCAAATATGGTGCCTGAGGAATGGCCTCAACTGTTCAGAATAAGTCGAGTATCCTCGTGCTCGAACGGCCCGGAGTGTGCCTGCGGCGCCTTATTAAAGCCCCGAAGCTGCCTTCATGGGAGACCGGGGTTTGTTCTTGCCTCAGTCAGACAGCACCCACCTGGGAAGGTGGGTACCCGACAGTGCAGCACAAGCTAAGGCCTGGGCTTCTTCTGCCGTCAAGCTCTTCTCCCGCAGCGGGACCTGGGTATTTACGGCCGGATTCTGCGAGGAAGTCCGAATGTTGAACAGACTTGCATTTGATCAAACAGAAGCTCCGTCCCGGAACCCCACCTTCCCCCCAGACCGCAGGGGCATTGGTTTCTCCGCAGCCGCACCGGCTCACCCACCGCTCGGAATTTCCGGGAACTGGCGCTCGACTTGTGTTGGCATACGTTTTCCGGTGTGAAATCAATCGAAACACGCCCGGGTTCTGCTGACACGGGAATGCATGACTGAGCGGCAAACAAACGTCAATATGGGCGTGATCTGAGCAGTTGCATGTCCACGGGCTCCCTTACAGTATCTCTCAAGCAACTTTGAAGCTTGATTTTCGCCTTCGCGCATGCAGTTGGTGGGTTTAGAGGTCGCTTCATTGCTCGTCTACTCGTGCCCAGAAAAAACAGACGCAGTCGCGGCTGGGCATTGAGGCTGCGGAGTTTCTTCTTGATGTTTCATTCCTTTCCGACATCAGCCTCCTCAACCATTCAAAGATGGGAGGTAACTGCATGTGGATCACGGAGTAGTTGAACCTCAGATATTGCTGAATGTCTCTCCTGGCTTCTTTTCCCAATCATGTAGCGCCCGATCACAATGAAAATCACTCGCGGAGAACTCCCTCGATTTTCACCTTGACCCGGTCCCGCCGTTTGATCAAGATATCCAAGACAGTCCAACCATCTCCTGCCTCTTCCTCTATCACGTCTCGCCAGGTCCCCGCTAACTTGGCGAATTACCAGTCTCTCCAAATGGTCTATAAGTCTGTTCCCTACATGGAAGCATGGTGTGGCCTGGTGCCCAAACATTGGGCGAATATCTGACTTCGTATATACATGGACATCGCTCGTAACAACTGGGTACAATACAATAACGCTTCATATTACTCAATCCTTAGAAATGTGGCCAGAGTCTGTTCCAGCTTTGCGAACGATAACGGTTTCGCAAGAAAGTCGTCGGCACCAGCGCTCTTAAACTGTGCCCTCGACTCTGTGCTCACCACAGCCGTCAAGGCAATGATGGGATGCCTTTTGGATAGTTTGCCGCTGTGCTCCAGAACGCGAATCTCTCGCGTGGCACATATCCCGTCTTTTACCGGCATGGACTGGTCCATGAGGATCAAGTCGATAATTTTATCGTGCTTCATGGTCTGCTCGATTGCTTGGTTGCCATCATTGGCGAGCAAGACAGAGTATCCCAGAGAGGAGAGCATCTTGATACACAGCTTCTGGTTGACCTGGGATTTCTTGTGTCAGTACCTTATCAGCTCATAGGAGTTGCCCCGTGTTGCCATGGGGTCGTTGTGGGGAGCGAATGCCGGGAAAGCAAATAAAAGAAAATAACAACGGCCACACTCACCGCATTATCCTCGACCAAGAGGATGTTGACGGTCCCAGCTGTCGGACTTTCCTCATGGGAAAGCTGTCTCTCCACGCCGTTCCTTAGCTGGGTCTTCGGGCCGATCTCCGCCGACGGCGAAGAGGCTCTAATAGCAGCAGCGGCATGAGCAGCTATCGCAATACGCTTGTAGAACGTATGCCATATGAGAGGCTTCGGGAGTGGCACAAAATGTGGCGCCGAAAGTACGCCAGGAAGGTGCTGCAGTGACTCCTGGTGCTCAAACGGCACGAATGTCGTGAGGCTCGCTTGACTCAGCAAGTGCCGCAAGCATTCGGCATCCTCTGCCAGGTACCGAAAGTCGGCCCATGCATATTTGATTTCGTAATTTGCCAATTCGGAGAAGTGGTTGACGACTACTACGTCGTAACCGAAAAGCTGCCACGCTGTTTGGAGCCCGTCTAGTAAGCGCGGAGGTGGTGAGAACAGCGCGACGGTACTCGGCTCAATGTTCTGTCCTGTTGATGGCTGAGAAGTTGGTGACATTTGTACTGGTATCCGAATCGTGAAGGTCGTCCCCGTTTCACTGGGGCTGAACCCATCGTCCACGTGTCGGCTTTCCACGGAGATATCGCCTTGCATTTTGTAAAGGAGTTGCCTGACGATGCTAAGACCAAGGCCAGTCCCTCTTTGTGTCCCGCGAGTTTTTCCCTGGGAAAATGGCTCGAAGAGCCGGGGAATAAAGGAAGACGGAATGCCCGCACCAGAGTCCGTTACTTTGGCGATCAGGTCACCGTCGTCCATCTCCAGACTCAGCATGACAAAGCCACTGCTGGTGAACTTGAGAGCGTTCGAAAGCAAGTTCATTAGAATCCTCTGAATGTAGGCCTCGTCAAGCAGGAGGGTTTCCGGCACAGTTGGTGCGACCACGGCCAGAATTTCGACGTCGTTTTGTTCGTCTTGGTGAGGGAGAAGGACCAAGATGGATTCGAAGACCGATCGCATATCTGAAGGTGCCAGGCGGCAGGATGCGTCTCGATCGCTCTCCAGCTTCGACCAATCCAAAACGTTGTTTGTAACTAATCATCACGTGGAGTTAGAGAAGTGATAGGTAAGGCCAAGAGGCCGACTTACTCAAAGACAATGTTTTTGTCGCATTTTGAATGGACAAGACGAGTTGACGCGCATCATCACTCAGGTTGGCCTTCGATAACAGATCGCTATAGCCTTGAAGGTGATGAAGAGGAGTCCGAATCTCATGAGAAGCTGATGCGATGAAATTGCTTCTCGCAGCTGCAGCCAGTTCTGCATTCTCTTTCTGTGCCAGAGCTCGCCACAGCTTTCGCCGTGTCAAGACGATCTCTGCAAGTTTGTTGCGTGAGACTGTCGCATTATGCGCCAACAGACCGTTGGCCAAGGTACAGGTGAGGATGGCGACGGTGCAAACTGCGATCGGAAGCTGTAGAGGATATCCTCCAACCTGAGCAGGTGGAACTCGAGACCAGAAAGTGGTTGCTCGTAAGCCTAATCGGCGTCAGTATGTAAGCGACAAGCTGCCGCAACCAAGGACTAGTTGCATGACTCAAGAAGGTTCTCACCTGTGAAATGCATGGCAGCTATGCCTGAAGCCGCGATGGCAGAGAAGAGCACCTGCTGGCTGAGATGGGGTTCGATGTTGACCATGTAGATGTATCCCGCAACACATACCACCCAAGAAATGATGGCGGAGAGGATCACCAATACCGGATTGAAGGTTAGCCGGCCTTCCGGAATGTTCATCGCGAGTAAGCCCCCGTAATGCATGCACGTCAACGAAAGCGACCAGACGAGCCCCATCCCGACAGCTCTCCACCTCATGCCACTCAGGATGCCGTAATAAGTTGCGACGAATGCATTCTGTGTCGGGGCAGCTCCGTGATCAGCCATGCTCTTGAGATCAAGCTGACCTGATCCGATCCTCAAATCCGACTGCGACCCCGAGCCTCGAGGCCCACTCGACGAGGGGTCTGAATCACGACGACGAAACTCGGGCGATCCGCGGCGGGGAACCGACATGCCGGAAGGACCGACTGTAGGGAAGACTCCAGCCTGCTCTGGAAGCGCATCGATTCGGCCAATTTCAATTGAATCGTTCCCTTCTCCGTCGGCCCCGTCCCCGCCGATACCGTTCATGGGACCGTCCGCCAGAAGACCCCTGGAAGAGTCCGCGTCTTCAAGATCCGCACTCCCCGTCACGCGGCGAGTCGGTCGGCGGTGGGCAGCGTTCTGCCGCTTATTGCTGTTATAGCGCTTCCATAACAACTCGGCTCCAAGTGAGGCAAAGGTGAAGCTGACTGCAAGGACGGCGCTGAGCAGGGTCAAGCCGACATCCAATTTGATGGGTAAGTCGAGTTTGCAAGACAGCATGCCGACAAAATGCAGACTCCAAGACGCGCAGAAGCCAAACGTCAAACCGATAAGCGCGATCCATGTGAAGACGGTGAAGAAATTCGATGATAGCTGGGCTTGGATCATGCTATGTGCACCATGATCAGCCGGGAATCGCGCGATATTGAGGTTGGACTCGCACGAGAAGAGACTCACAGCTGCGTGGAAGTAAAGGTGCCGAGGAACGAGACAAAGAAGGCAGCAACGATGAGCCACCAATCGAACTTCTTCTCAAGCTGTCGATATCCATCTGCCGTATCCATCTTGGCGCGTCGTCAAAACTAAAGATGGAGACGACTGGGCCGTAGACGCGCAGGGGGCGTACAAGCCAGGGCTGCGCCTGGGCCCTTCGTACCGCGCAAGCGTGGATATGTGTCGGAACAGTACCGATGTTGACATCCGCTGTAGAGTGAGGAACATCGGGAGATGGCATGCCGTATTGGGATACCCCCTAAGTTGAGGACATGGTGTTGACAGTGGAATCCGTCGTCGGAGGGTATCAGGCGGTGTCTGGCTCGGTTGTGTGAAAACTTAGACGTTGCAGGTTGGAGGCTCATGAGTGGTCGTCTGGACTGCTCCAATTGTTGCCTCTTACCTGGAGACCCTTCTAACCATATATGGCTAGCATAGCCCCAGCATGACATCACGACCGTCGCTGTGGCAGACAGATGGAGATTTCAGATCGCACATTCCCCTGGACGAGATGTCAATTGGAATGTCATGGGGATTTGCAATGCATCGCAAATGAATCTTGTTTCTCAATCCGCCATCTGATTGGAGTACGACCCGGAGTGTGGGGAGATCCCTCGCTTGCTAGGCTGTAAACGGTTAAGCTGCTGTTTCGTGGAACATCCTCTCCGGCGACACAAGCATGTTTCTGGTTCCATAACCTCCGAGGCTCCATCAAATCGCAGGCTTCAAATTGCCATCCTTCTCCAGCGTCCGCGTACTTTGCGCCGGCGCAAGACTTTACCAGCACCTGTCCCATCGACTGAGGAGACTGAAACCCAAGCAGAAATCACTCCAAAACACTGTCGCGGCCAACGTGTAGTCCGCGTTTGAAGCACTTCGACGTCAAGTGGCTGGTCCGCCGCTCGAGGGGAAAACGTGCCTTACATCAGCGATGAAACCGAGGTTCCCGACCACGCGTCTACCCATCTATCCAACAGGAGGAATCCAAGCGGCACATGTGCATGTACATCGTGATGGAGCACGTTGAAGCGCAGCTTCTCAGTGAGCAGTGGGGTTCCTGGGAGTTCGGGGGAAAAAGAATCGATCGCGTCGCAGATGCGCGCCGTCTGGGACGATTCGCAACCTCCCTCGCCAACTACTTCTGTAGCCTCAACGGCCGCCCAATGTACGAAGGGCTCTCTCCCTGACAGACGAAGAAACTTCTAGATCAATAATCCGTTCGGTCAAAGACCGACATCGCCGAAGGTTTTGTCCCGACCATGCAGCCCAAAGACAAACAGTTTCCTGCCGAGAAAGCGGTCCATAATTGGCATGTCTTGCCTCGCGTCGTGCGAGCGGACAGCAGATTCAAGTTCGCCCAAGGGGTGCCTTCAAGCAAAAACCACGCTGTGGCCGGATGGCGGCGTCGTCATTCTGGACTAAGATTTGGCGGGTTGGTACCCGCGGTATCGGAATTATGCGACGATGGTGTTGGTTGCGGCTGCTGAGTCGACGGTTTCCGCCCTTGGGTACCCAAGATCGTGGACGGGTCCGAATGAAATATGTAATTGGCGCACATCCTACCCTTTCTGCGGTAGTAGGCCTGTTATTGAATACCTACCCTGGTTTTGCATTTGGCCCCATCTGCTGTCATATGGTTGAAGGTTAGGCCTTGCACGACTGAAAAGATGTAGAGAAGGCAATGTCTTGCAGCAATAGAGACATCTCGCAGCAACGACGTTGGATTGAGTCCAGGTGCACCAATTCGATAGGTAATCGAGATACCTACTTTGGTGTGATGATTTTCCACAGGTAGAAAATGAGAGAAGGAAAGCAGAATGGATAAAGAGACAAGAAAAGAAAGAAGGATAGAAGAATAAAATGGAAGAAAGAAAATAGAAGAGAAAAACAAAGAAGATACCATGGGGGCAATGTTGGGGTCGGGAAAGCTTTAACCTGACAATATTCCCAGAAGTCTTGCTCTTGCTACCAAATCGAGACCCAAAATATATCCAAAATCCCTGGACCGGAAAATAATGAAAGCGCGGTAGAGTTGCAGTTCAAGGAACCCATGTTCAATGAACATACCCTTCGTAACTCCCGGTTATCATGTTCTTACGGTTATATAATGTTCCTGGCATGTAACACACTATTAAAATGGGAGGAGTAACCGCGTTACCTGACGATGTCGAAGTCTTGCTCATGTAATAACTTTCTCACCTAAAGTTTGGCATCGGGAACATAATCCCTAGACCATCTTCCCGACCACGCCATTCCATGGATTAAGAGTGTTGGTGGGGTGCCGGCGGGCGGGGCTCGGGGCCCGTTGCCAGCTGGCTGCACTCAATTAAACAGAGCGCACTAACGACGCGCCTCGCGTGTTCTTGTCGCGTTTCCAAGGCTCTCCCCACCACATTCGCTCGCTGCCATCTCTCGCAAAACAAGCTCGACGACATCTGGTCCCTCATTTTTTTCCCCTACCGTCGTCAAAAACACCGTCATGGATACTTTATTATTTCAGAGGGACGAGGCCACGCGCGATCGCGTCCGCCAGGCCCTGGAGTTTCTCGATCCTCGTAGGTCTCCTTTTGTCTTTTTCTCTGAATTTAGGTACTCCTGACGACACGAGGCTAACCCACATGCTACCACAGATGACCAGCATGCGCGGAGTTACCGACCAGACATCATCTTGATGCTACAGAAGAACCAACGCAGACTTGTCGTTAACATCGATCATGTCCGCGAGCACAACCCCGAGATGGCTGAGGGGCTGCTCAGCAACCCCTTCGACTACACCTTGGCCTTCAACCATGCCCTCAAGGAGATCGTCAAGACAGTGCCTCAAGCGCGTCCAGACCAGGTGGACGCCGACGTGCTCTACTACTGCGCCTGGGCCGGCAGCTTCGGCCTCAACGCCTGCAACCCACGGACGCTGTCGTCGCAGCACCTGAACAGTATGGTCTCAATTGAGGGCATCGTCACACGCTGCTCCCTGATCCGCCCCAAGATCGTCAAAAGTGTGCACTACACGGAAGAAACCCAAAAATGGTATTTCAAAGAGTACCGTGACCAGACCATGACCAAGGGCGTCACCACGACCAGCGTCTACCCTACTGAAGACCAGGAGGGGAACCCCCTGATGACCGAGTACGGCTTGTGCACGTACCGGGACCACCAGACCGTCTCAATTCAGGAGATGCCCGAGCGCGCGCCTGCAGGCCAGCTGCCCCGCGGTGTTGACGTAATTCTCGACGACGACCTCGTCGACAGGGTCAAGCCGGGCGATCGTGTTCAGCTGGTCGGCATCTACAGGACATTAGGTAACAGGAACACGAACCACAATAGTGCCCTCTTCAAGACGGTTCTGCTGGCCAACAATGTCGTGTTGCTTTCGAGCAAATCCGGCGGCGGCATCGCCACTGCCACCATTACCGATACCGACATCCGGAATATCAACAAGATCTCCAAAAAGCCCAAGCTGTTTGACCTGCTCTCGCAGTCTCTGGCGCCGAGTATTTACGGCCACGAGTACATCAAAAAGGCCATCCTCTTGATGCTCTTGGGGGGAATGGAGAAGAACTTGGAGAACGGCACGCATCTCAGAGGTGACATCAACATTTTGATGGTTGGTGACCCTTCGACTGCCAAGTCTCAGCTGCTGCGATTCGTGCTCAACACGGCTCCCCTGGCCATCGCCACCACCGGTCGTGGTTCTTCAGGTGTCGGTCTGACGGCTGCTGTGACCTCGGACAAGGAGACGGGCGAGAGGCGGCTAGAGGCTGGTGCCATGGTCATGGCTGACCGTGGCGTCGTGTGCATTGACGAGTTTGACAAGATGTCGGACATTGATCGAGTGGCCATCCACGAAGTAATGGAGCAGCAGACAGTCACTATCGCTAAGGCGGGCATCCACACGTCCCTGAACGCCCGCTGCAGCGTCATCGCCGCCGCCAACCCCATCTTTGGGCAGTATGATACACACAAAGACCCACACAAGAACATTGCCCTGCCGGATTCTCTGCTGTCCCGTTTCGACCTTCTGTTCGTCGTCACGGACGACATCGAGGATACCAGGGACCGGCAAGTCTCAGAACACGTCTTGCGCATGCACAGATACCGGCAGCCGGGCACCGAAGAGGGCGCCCCGGTGCGCGAGAACGCAGGCCAGGCGCTCAACGTCGCTCTCAACCAACAAGCTGACTCGCAGCGACTGACTGAGGTGTACGAGAAGTACGACGCGATGCTGCACGCGGGCGTCAAGGGCACGGGGCGGGGAGCCAACAAGAAGCCTGAGGTGCTGAGCATCCCCTTCATGAAGAAGTACATCCAGTACGCCAAGACGCGTATCAAGCCGGTCTTGACGCAGGAGGCGGCTGACCGGATCGCCGACATTTACGTCGGCCTGCGCAATGACGACATGGAGAGCAACCAGCGCAAAACCAGCCCTATGACGGTGCGTACCCTTGAGACCCTCATCCGTCTTGCCACGGCACACGCCAAGTCCCGTCTCTCCAACCGCGTCGAGGAGCGCGACGCCGCGGCAGCCGAGTCTATCCTCCGGTTTGCGCTCTTCAAGGAAGTTGTCCAAGACGAGTCCCGCAGGAAGCGGCGCAAGACCCGGCCGCTCGAAGACGACAACGACGACAGCGACTCGGACGACTCAGATGATTCGGACGGCGACGAAGCGAACGACACAGCGAGCAGAAGCAGAGCTCACGCAAGCACCGCCCGCTCCGCCAGCGCTTCTCAGCGCGCCCGCAACAACGCCCGCCGCCGGCCGACCCGCAGACAAGGCAGCTCCCCGGACGGCGCAGACGGCGCAACACCCGACGAAGCACCAGAAGAACAAGAAGAGGAGGACGACAAGGGAGAAGATATCTACAACGCCACCCCGCGCCGCGCGATACGCACCAACCGGTCCATCGCCGCAGCCTCGTCCTCCCAGCCCTCGTTCCCCTCCTCCCTCCCAGCCTCCCAGCTCCGCACCCAATCATCCCGGACCCAGTCGCAACGAGACGACGAAGTCCTGGCCTCCAACACCGCCAACCTCACCGTGTCAGACGACGCCGAAGGCGACGAGGACGACGAAGAAGAGCAGCCCATCAGCGAGCAGCGACTGGACGTGTTCCGGCGGGCGCTAGGCCAACTGCTCAACACGCCACTGTTCGAGGACGACTCGGCCGGCGTCGGGGAGCTGATCGAGGCTGTGAATCGGAGGATTGGGGGTGGGCAGGAGAAGTTTGGGCGGGAGGAGGCGATCAAGGCGCTGAAGGAGATGGATGGGCGGAATCAGATTATGTGAGTACTATCCCGACAAACTAATCTCCTTTTTGGTGATGCTAACGAAGGTCAGGTATACGGATGGCGAGCTGGTTTATAAGATTTGATGGTTGAGAATGAGGGTGGATGGGTTATTTTTGTGTGGTGGTTACTGTGTCTGTTATGAATGGGACTGATTAGGAGTTGTTCTCAGCATCACATGGTCATCATGGATGTAGATGGGTAGGTGATACTCAAGGGTAGCGATTTATGATACCGTTATTCTCGGCTTGACGTGAGTAATTATGTGGCAGCTCAAGCGTGGTACAGGCGTCATGCTCGCGGAATGGGTGTTTGGGAGGAGGGATGAGAACAAAGTTCGTTTCCGGCCTCAAACTGCTCCCCTTCCTTTTAGTTTTGAGTCGGGTAGGACCAAGCTTTTCCAGTTTCCAAGCATGTACTCCGCTACTCTGACATGGTCATGCCGCTTGGTTGCTAGTCTATTAGGACACCTATCTACGGGTCTGTCAAGCCAAATTCTGCAATATCCAATGCGCTTGAGTCTCTAATATTACCTACCATCCTCCAACTTACAGACGCTCTTGAAACTCACGCAGCCTCTCGTCTATCCTCACGCCGTTCCAAGTCTCCCTTCCGTCCTCATCCACAGCTAACACGGGAAAGCCGACCTGCTCAATGGCAAAACTCGCCGCCACATGTCCCCAGGCACACGCCTCTTCAATCGACTTTCCCCTCGCCAAAGCCACCGCCAGCCCACCGAGGAATGTATTACCACCTCCGGTGGGATCAACCACTTTCTCCGCCTCATCTCCGGCATACCCCTCGCCGTAATAGGCAGGCACCCACTTCTCCAGCCCGGGATCGATTTCGATCTCCTCCCTCGCCACACGCCCCTCATCGTCCTGCATCAACCCGGCAAACAGCGCCTCCATGTCGGTGTCGGGCCTGAGCCCACCGCGGACATACTCCTTCTTCTTCTTCTTCAGTCTGTTCCTGCCCTCACCTCCATCACCATCCACCTCATCACTTGCAGCAGCAGCAACCTTCTTCTTGCGCCCGCCGTTTCGCGCGATATAGCACCCCTTCTCGCCGGCCCGGATCACGAGCGTGTAGCTCTGCAGTGGCATGCTCGCCAGCAGCTGCTCGCAGCTCCGCTCGACGGCCTGGACGCTGAGGCCGCCGGTGTCCGGGTCCAGGCCGTCGCCGCCCATGAAGCCGGCGAGCTCGGCGTGGTTGGGCGAGCACACGTCGACGAGGGGCAGCGTGTTAGTGCAATTGAGCAGCTCGTCGGGCGTGCACAGGTCCGGCACGGGCTCCCAGATGAGGAGCGGGCGCGGGTGGTCGCCGTCCGGGTCGGCGTCCCGCCTGCGGGCGAGGATGGACGCGACGAGGTCCTGGCACCGGCGCGGGCTGCAGATGAGGTGGATGGCCTTGGCGAAGAGTAAAGGCGGGGTCAGGTCCATGGCGGTGAGACGCTTCTTTGGGGTGGTGTAGCGGAAGGCGCGGCGCTCCGAGGCGTCGGTGTAGCCGTTCCATCCACGGGTGGTGAGCCGGGACGGGTCGTGGCGGAAGAGGGCCGAGGTCTGCCAGGTCTGGATCTGGACCGTGATGGAGGGCGGGAAGTCGCAGCCTTGGTCGACGATCCAACCGACCGTTTTGGAGGAAGGCGGTGGCGAGAAGAGGCGGGCGCCCAGGGCCGAATAGCTGCCGGCACCGCCGAGGACATCATGGACTGGGGGTTTGGGCGGGATAAACTCGATTTCATCTGCTAGATGGTGAGTATCAAGGTGGGCGTTGATGCCATGAGACTGTGGTGTGGGCATGCAGGCCCGGAGATACAGAGAGGTAGGCTGGAAACTGGATAAGGGGAAACTTGAAGGGGCAAGGTAAACACAAAGTGAATTCACTGCCGCCGGGGCCGTATTCCGGGCACAATGCCAGCAACTCAGCAGCAGATGACAAGACGTACCAATAATGAACCTGCCCACAATGTCAGCTGTGAAATTCCCATCCCGGAAATGTCTGGAATGGTTTCGGAAGCAAGGTGCGCTGTCTCGGTAGCAGGATGCCTCCTGAGACAGCCGTAAATGGGAAAAGATAGTTCAGGGACAAAGAAGATTGTGCTTACATGCCGAGCGTGACAAAATCAATCTCCTGGGTCGACGGGATGTCTCCGGCCTCCAGCTCGGTCTCCGCTTCGGGCCGCACCGGGTTTTCCGGACCCTTGCCCGGGTCCATGTCCGAGTGCAACACCATGTCGGGGAGCGGGGCCGTCCTTGGCAGGTTAGACGCGTTGACTGTTTGTTGGCAGAGAAAGTGGACGCCGAAGAGGGCGGGTAGGAAAGAGCGAAGAGGCCAGATAAGAAAAGAGCGGACAAAAGGAAAAGCAAGGTACAAGAAAAGAGACGCAAGAAAGACAAGAGTCGGCGTCGTTCACGATGCAGGCCTGGCTGAAACAGCAGGGTGAGGCGGGATGCCCACTGGCTGAAGATTTTGGCACTGGATGCTCAATTCGGAGGTCTGCATTTGCCTTTGTTGGCGCTGGACAACGCCTGCTTCACGTGTCACTCCCGTGTTGCCTCCTTGAATGTGGAGGGACGCTTCCGTTTTCCAGCATGTATGGAGTACGGATACAAACCCGCCATTGTACGATCTTCTTTCAAATAAAAGGAATGACTGCCCTGAGTATAATCCTGGATAACACACAGGTAGCGCAACATTCACAAGCCCCGCCATTTGCAGCTTTGAAGCATGCCAGAAGAAGGGGACAAGGCAGCGGCATTGCAGCCTGTTGGAATTCGAGGCTTGGTGTCAGCGCTGATTGGGTGGGCTGCGCACAGTAGCCCCACATTCATGCCGGAGCTTTGAGTTGGGGCAGCTGTTGCTGAAAGTCAGGGGTGTCACAACCCTTCATCATTCTGTTACCTTCTCTCCGTTTTGTCGCCGGATGCTCTCTACTAGTATCTCCACGACATCGGCGAGCACTTGACCCTCGGGTACCTTATAGAGAGTCTGTTTCACACGTAAAACCCGGCCCTCTCCCTGCGCTGGTCACCGCGCACCGGCACTCCCTCGATCCGGGAACTGTCTACGACGTCCTTTGCTTGCGCCCAGCTTTCCAGATTTCCCCGTCGCAGGCGTTGCCCCTCTGCGCTCGCCCACCATGGCAACCAATTCCATGCACAACCTGACGACTCTGATCAAGAGGTTCGTGGCCGCCCCGTTCCGATCTGCCATCCCAACCATGCGCCGCCTCGCAGCGTAAACAACCCGTCCCGACGCTGACCGAGGAGTCCAGGCTCGAGGCTGCCACGTCTCGTCTTGAAGACATCGCCCAGTCGGCCTTTGAACTTCCCCAAGCGGTCCCCGGCCTTCAGCATGGCCCTGCTGCCCCCGCCCCTCCTGCGCCGACTTTGCCCGCCTCTGGGCCCCCTGCGCCCGCATCTCCGGCTCCTCCCCAGACCGCGGTAGGACCTCCTCCGCCTGTCCCGGAGCCTGTGCCCGAATCGATTGAAGAATTTGATGCTCTGATTAACCAGTCCCTCAACAATTGGTTCAAGCTCAGCAATGCGATAGGGGGTCTGGTTGCCGAACAGGGCGCCAAGGTTGTCGAGGCCTTCAAGGAGCAGCGCAAGTTCCTGTTCATCACGACCAAGGCAAAGAAGCCCGACCTCAACGGCGCCGACATGTCCGTCTTCCAGGACCTGATCAAGCCCATCGGCAATCTCATAACGGCCGTCGGCGGTATCAAGGACTCGAACCGCGGCGATCCGCTCTACAACAACCTTTGCACAGTGGCAGAGAGCATGATGGCTCTAGCCTGGGTGACAATCGACACGAAGCCGTTCAAGCACGTCGAGGAGAGCCTGGCGTCTGCCCAGTTCTGGGGGAACAAGGTCCTGACCGCAAACAAGAACAAGTGAGCAGCCCATTGCAAAGGAGGTATGTCGGGAAGTTCTGACTAGAAAACAGGGATGAACAACAGGTCGAGTGGGTGAAGGCCTACTTTCAAGTGTTCCGTGACCTCGCAGAGTACGTGAAAACCTACTTTCCGAACGGTATCCCATGGAATCCGAAGGGCGTCCCAGCGGCCGAAGCGGCCAAGTCCGTGGCGGCGGCGCCCGCTGCCCCTGCCACTCCGGCGCCGCCAGCCGGTGGGCCGCCGCCGCCTCCTCCTCCGCCGCCAGGCCCCCCGCCGATCCTCAAGATCAACGAGGAAAAGGCACCCCAGACGGCCCACCCAGGGGGCTTCGGCGCCGTTTTCTCGGAGCTCAACAAAGGCGAGTCGGTCACCAAGGGGCTGAGAAAGGTGGATAAGTCTGAGATGACGCACAAGAACCCGTCCTTGCGGGCTGGGTCGACCGTCCCTGACAAGGCGGCCTCGACACGGGCAAAGAGCCCTGCGCCAGGCACCAAGCCGAAGCCCGAGAGCATGCGGGTCAAGAAACCGCCCAAGAAGGAGCTCGAGGGCAACAAGTGGACAATCGTATGTTTTTTCTCTTTTCATTCCCCAGTCGGTGATGGAATGCCACGCTAACATCACAAACCTCCAGGAAAACTTTGACAAGGAACCCGCCCCCATCGAGCTCGACGTCTCCCTCTCCCATTCGATCCTCATCTCTAAGTGCAACAACACAACCATCATCCTCAAGGGCAAGGCCAACGCGGTCACAGTCGAAAACACCAACCGCCTCTCGCTCGTCGTCGAGTCACTCGTGTCCACTGTCGACGTGGTCAAGTCGCAAAACTTTGCGCTCCAGGTCCTCGAGACCATCCCTACGGTGCTCATGGACCAGGTCGACGGCGCCCAGATTTACCTGAGCAAGGAGAGCGCCGCCGCGCGCATCTACTCGAGCAAGTCGGCCAGCATCAACCTGAATGTGATTCCTGCCGGGGACGAGGACTACAAGGAGATTCCGCTGCCGAGCCAGATTTGCTCGTGGTTTGACGCGGAGAAGGGGGATGTGGTGAATGAGATCGTGTCGCATGCTGGGTAGACTTGGAGATTTGAGTAGGGTAGCATGGGATAGCAAAGGCGCAGTTGGTAGATAAGAGTTTTGGATCGGTGGGGTGGGATAGGAATTGAGCATTGAATGGTTGCCCTGAGTGTAGATGGCCGTATGGATATCGAGTAGTTGTAGAGAGAGCATAGAAAGACAGGAGTAATTCTGTCATGCCGGTCGGTGATTCGTTACATTATGGCCCGAGCTGGACCGAAAGGTTAGCCAACGGCATATCGGGAGGTCGCAGTTACAGTAATAGATACAAACGAGCTATAGAACATCGATCTATGGTATAGACGGTTAGACTAGCTCTAGACATGCATGTAACGCTCCCAAGGCAAGACACATTCCTCCCAGACTACAAATGAAGAAACGTGGCCCAGAAAATCTTGATTTCCGATGCTCAGTCTTCCAACTACCCAAGCAATAACCCCTTCCTCCACTCGACCGCGTAGAACACAAACCTCAACACTCAAAGCTTAGCCTTGGGCGCCTCAAGCGTCGGCATCAGCATGTCACGCATGTCGCCGGCTGCCTCGTTGAGGTAGAAACTCATCTTGTCGCTGCCGAGGCCCTTGGAGACGATGTTGAAGTTGATGCTACTCACACGGAGGTTAGCCAACCGCACATCTCGGAAAGGACCAGAAGTAAGAAGGGGTGCTTACCTGTTCTCATTGATCATGTACGCAATGCCGAACCCCTCGTCAATAACCTGGCTCCAGCCGTACCCGTTAAAGTACTCGGAGCTCAGCTGGCTGGTGGACAGGTACCACGAGGACGAGTAGGCATAGGCCGGGTCCTTGTAGAGCGCGGGCAGCTCCTGGCCCGGCTCGAGCAGGCGCTTGAGGCCAAACAGGTGGCGGTCGACGCCCTTGCCATCCGAGGCGGCGTTGATGTACTCAAGATGGGCGTCGATGGCCTTGCGGAAGAGGGCAACGCGCGCCGCATTGTCGACGCCCTCGTCCGCCATGGACCGGCACCACGCCACGCTGTCCTCGGACACGGTGCGGCACGTCTCGGTGCGCCCCTGCTGGAAGCGCCGGGTCGCGGCGGATTCGTACGTCGGGCGGTTCTTGCCGTACATTCTGAAGTAGGCGAGCTGGATGATCATTTGCACGTAGGCATCCGGCGAGCACTTGAACTTCTTGATGAGACCCTTGCCATAGCCCTGGTAGGCCTGCACGGCGAGCTGGTGCTGCCCGATGACGTTGTTGAAGTCGCGCACGGCGCGGTCAATCTCGGCCTGCACCTCCTTTGTGACGACGAACTTGATGGGCTGGGGCTCGGGGAGATTGGAGCGAATGTTGAGGTCGGAGAAATCGAGCTTGTTGTTGAAAATGAGGTCGTTGACGTAGTCGTTAAGTCGGTGAGTGGGAGTTCCGTCCATCATGCTGTGCTCCCCCATGAAGCCCGACGTGCCGTTCTCGTTGACGATGAACTGCAGCGGCTTGTCATACCACCGGTTCTGGCCGTCGCCGTGCCAGTAGGCGTGCGCCCGCTCCTCGAGGGTGACGGGTTTGGCGTCGTCCAGGCAGACAACGAAAGAGGCGGACTCGATGGCCTCGATGGCCTTGGCGTTGGCCGGGTCGGCGGCGAGCAGGACCGCCCGCGCATCCGTCCAGATATCGCGGTTCTCTGAGGTCAGGGCGCCGACAGCAGGGACCCGTTCACCGGCCAGCTCGTACACCCGGCGGAAGGACTGCTCCAGCTCGGAGGTGTTGAGCTGCTTGCCGCCGACTTCATGGGCGACCTTGAAGAACTGGTTCTTGCGGATGACGAGGAGGTGCTTGTTCTCGGTGTAGTCGAACTTGACTGGGTAGTCGGCGGGCTTGGCAGGCACGCGGCAGGCGTTGAACATCCACTTGTAGCTGTCCATGCAGATGGGCAGCTTCTTCATGTACTCGGGCTCGAGGGTGCCCAGGTCAACCTGCTTCTTGAACTCGAGCACGGCCGTCGTTATGGCGGCAGCGCGCTTGGCGGGGTCCCGCCGCCTCCGATCGTCCCGATGCGAGTAGAAGTAGCTGACGTAGGGCACCACGGGGTCGCGGTAGCTGAGGTAGGCCGCATCGTTCCACCACTCGTACATCCAGTTCTTGATCTTGGGGTCCTCGCGCCTGGCGACCAGCTTTTCCTGCAGCTTCCGGCCAGGGCCGTTGGGGGCGATGAAGTCCTGTACCGCCTTGGTGCTGGCCTCAAGCTCGGAGGGTGTGAGCAGCGGCCGGAGGGTCTTGAGATACCGCGCAGCCGTCTCCTCTAGTGTGGGAACTGGCAGGCGAGGGAGCGAGTCCTGGAAGCGGAGCATGGGCCCCTTGGACTTGTCCTCGACGTACCCCGCCGGGAGGGAGCTGTTATTTCGTCTTGTCGCGGGAGCCATGGCTGCAAGTCTCTAGATACTCCGGGGTTAGCTAATGTCGTAACCGAGTGTCGGAGGCGGGGAGATGGTATGAAGGAGAAGGGGACTAACTACGGGCGGCGTCGTCTGTTTGAACAAGAGGTTTCGAAGTGTGGGAGACCGAGCCTCTGTCCTTACGATCTTGGCCAACATCCCAACTTTTGTCTAAGACTGGAGTTGGAAAACACCGTGACACACTGGGAATCAGAGAAGAGGAAAACAGAAGGCGGCACACGAGAGTTGGCGCGTTCACTGGTCGAGGAGGAGAGGACCGCCTCCGGAATTCAACCCAGGTACCGGGATCTGGAAAGTCCGAGGTGGGTTCACTCCAACTGGGGTTCAGATAGCCGCGGAAGATTGAGTACAAGGAGTGCAGGGTCGGTTCCTCTTTCGACGAGGCTTCTCCGCGAGCCTAGGCACTTCTTCAGGGTTCGGGGGTTCGTCGCATCGGCATCAACTGGACAATCCAACTCGGAGAATGCGCGCGGGTTGCATGGCCACTTTGCTCTGATAGCAGGAGCCCACTTGAGCCGAGGCTAATTGCCGTCATTAGCCTTCAAGTCCTTGCAGCCGCGGGTAAGAATCGTGGGGTAACGAGTCGGGAGCGCCAATTCCGGTGCCGCCCCTTTATCTCCGTGCCATTGGCCAGCAGGCATTCCCTGTTGCCGAACACGGTCCACGCGCCACAACTGACGTCCCATGGGTGGCTCCGGGCTAGCGGATGGATACCTGCTGGTTCCAGAACGGCATCTTTCACATGCAAAGGCGTTCTTGCAATAGTGTGCGACCAAGCCAAGATTGACATATAGATCCCAACTCTGGAGCTATACTTGTTGGACTTGACTTGCCTGCACCGAGCCATATTTAATTTGTCTTGTATTTGATCAAATGCTTAGAAAGTCAGTTAGATTCTCATACCGAGACTTATCCTTAACCCTGGCGAGCCCACCTCCTTCGCCTCACCTATTGTAGGGAACATCTAAATCGCACACCAGTATAGGCTCTATACTGGTGTGCGATTTAGATGTTCCCCTATTATACCTTATCTTCTTCATATTCATCTTCAACGCCTTCTTGATTCCCAAGTAAGCCCAAGAATCGGATCTTTACATTCGATTAGGGTGATCATTCTCCCTAGGTAGCATACCGACGAGAATATGAGGAGAACAGTATTTACATTGATTATTTACTGAGAAACCAGACGTTGATGACTTGATCAACCATATGTCTGGCCACCTGTATAGTTATCTTCATTAGCTCGTAGGTGTGGCGAAGGAGTCGATGACAAGCTACCTAAGTGCACTTAAGGCGCTAAATATCCCCATCACCGGATACACAACCTCGCTGTACGGAGCTCGAGGACTTCACCATCAGAAGCCCCAAAGTGAAGACGACGCAGTTCCGTAGGAACCTCGCAGATGTTGCTGCTGCCTCCACCGAGCTCAGCGTGCTATCAACACACACTGGCACAATGAGGATGATGCTGGATGGGCCTGATGCAGATACAAGCCGTCTCACCAGCAGTAGCTGGAAGCCAGTTATCGCAAAAGTCATCAAGGCACCAACAGCATCCAGCCGACTCTCCCGTCCCCTTTGAGGTGGTTCCCCGGAGGATACATCAAAGACATCGCCTGATAAAGTAACTGGTGACGCGACTTAGTACCTGCCAGTGACCCATCACTCGGCCACGATATCTTGCTGACCCTATCTAACCCCATCTCGGTTCCTCCTATGCTCGCTCCACGGGCTAGGTGTTGGATCAACGCCGCTACTACATCGACCTTCTAATAATTTATTATACGACCCCCTTCCCGGTGAACAAACACCGGGGGCCGCCCGCGCGGGCGGCCGGGCATCGCAAAAATCGAGATGCAGTACCTTTGCGACCTGTTTTCTCGATTCCAAGGGGTTGCAGCTCCGCGCAGCCGCTGCGCGGCCTGTTGGCGGCCGAGGACGTCGATTTCGAGGATCAAAAGTGAGATTTTCGAGCGCCCGAAAATCCCTCACCGCCCCGCCCGACAATCGCGACAACCGACACCAACGACAACAACAAGCTGCAACAAGTTTGCAAGATTAGGGGGATACTGGGTACGAAAACCACCCGACTCTTTCGACGTTCTGAAGAAGAGACAGGGCACCCCCGGCCCTGCCCGGTTCTGGTGGAGCGGAATCAAGAGTCTGGCGGCGCGACCGACCAGTGCGACGAAGCTACGAGGACCGGAGCGAAAGCTGTTGTACGATTCCGATTGCAAGAGTTGTTAATCGACCGAGGAGACGGAGAGTAACGGGTTCGTTAAGGAAGGCACACGGGCGGCCGGCTCTCCTGCAAGGCGCTTTGCCCTCTTGACAAACAGCACACTACAAGAGGAGGAACTACAATGGTGGATCAGGGCTGGTTAGTGGCAGTGCGACCGAGGGAGCTGCGCCGGTGTGGCAGCTCTTTCGACGGCCTGCT